CAACTTTTAAGAGAACAAAACATGCAAAACATAGGGTAGGTAAATTTCTCCTAAGCAAGACAATCAGAGCTTCCAAAAAATTGTTTCTGTTGGGGGTTTAACAATACTTTATTCAATACAATATAATTTTACAGAAAGAATTAAACTCGAGTGAAACGAATAAAAATTCTAAATTTTAAAATTGGTTTTCCTTTATTTAGAGTTCTTATACTTTCTAAAGTATTTAAGACTTCCTTCATGAACAAATTTCTTCAAAGTGAATTTATAACTTCAATGGAAATATATTTTTTTGTCAACCCTTGTAAAATTCTTCCTGTTTATGTTTGGAATTATTACTAATAGGTCGCCTTTCGGATGCTTTTCTATATTTTATTATATTTTTTTTATAATATGTACATATAATACAAGAATATGCTCCACTGTGGACAGTGCCTCGAGCTTCCAGCATCGAGCAAGTTGCACGTTCGATGTTCGAGATCGATCGGCATTCGTCACCCGAAACGTGAGCTGACGTCGGCCGTTCCAGCAGGTCCAAAGTTCAGCACCTGCCGGCTCGTTTGATAGCGGACATTTCTCTTTGGGGTAACGAAAGCGCACCGAAAGCGAAACACACTCGCACGCCCCTCTGATTACCCACCCATTGCCTGCATTTGATAAGCCAAAGTCTGTGTTTATTTGGTTCCTTGGCGAGCTAATCGCTTCATTTTGGCCAATTTACGACGTTCTTGAGGTTTATTGTTTTCGTCTTGCCTGTTGTTTCAGTTGATTAGCATGTGTGATCGAATCTTTCGGAGTTTTCACGCCCGCCGAGCATGGGTCTTTTGAGATTACCATGGAGGACTATAGTATGTAAATTGTTTATATAAATTAAATCTCGACTTTGATACCTCTCATCGCTGAGGCTCAGCTTTCGGGCCACATGACGAGCGACTGATTAAGTCTGTTTCGATTTTTGCTTACCTTGAAAAATCTCTATAAAGCGTTCACCTTGCTCAAACCTAATCGGTTTCAATCGCTGGAACTGTCCAGAGAAAGATTTCACTTGTGTTCTCTCAACATTCAGGATCGAGTCACGATCCCTGGAGAGCTAATCCTAAATTTTAAATGTGGCGCGCGTGCTGAAAAACACGTCACAGAGCTTGGCTTATCGATGCCAGGCCTCTCAGAAATTCTGTTTTTATTTGAAACCATTTTTTAGTGTCATAATTAAATCCACAACGAACCGATTATTCAATACATTGTACCCTTTCTGAGGGAATTGCGACTTTTGCCAGAAGTTTGCAAAAAGAATATTTTGATTAGTTAGGTGTTTAAATTATATTACTGCAGTTCATTTATTTAATTTCAGAATTATTCATCTCATTAAAAATGATTAATGGTGGCCTTGCTAGTCTAGACTTTGTCATTGCATTTGATCTGGAAATCATCAAGTCCTACGCTTCAAAAATTGATTAAAAATGCGCTACAAAGTTCAGGCTTCCCACAGTTAAAAATACATTATGTTTCCGGCAAGCAAATGTTAAAATTATGCTTATTAAAAAGAAGATTAAAATAATTTCATAAAATATAAGAGAATATATGGTTTTAACCATATAAAATGGTTTTATAGGTCCCACCAGAGCAAAGTCTTCTGATTACAGAGGATTTCTTGTTGACAACCGGAAAGTAGCCAGACATAAACACAAATGTACAATTTATTTATATATATATGTATATTCTTTGATAACCATTGATAACACCCACGACTTTCGATTTAATTATAAAAAGGAATACACAGAAATGCACAGAAAATAATAATCATTAGAGAGAAGATTAGTAGTATATGTGTAGAAGCTTTAAGCAATTCCTCAAGGCTGAAAGCGATTTGGAATATTCATAATTTACATCAGCCTTTTAAAAGTACATTCATATTTATTGATAATTAATTAGAGTGCATTTAGATCTGCATAATCCTCATGATTATTTTGATTTATATATACAAATATCATGTTCTTTAAGATAAATATATGAAATTACAAATTAAAGCCTTAAAAAATTATATAGAAATTGTTTTATAATGAAAGTAATGGCTTTAATAAATACTAAAATCTTTTCTTAATTTTTTTGTATTTTTTCTTAGAATTAGTAATGAATTTTTGAGAATTTTAAAATACTTTAATGCATTTTAAGATAGCTTAAATTTTTGGTTCCAATCAAAACAAAGCCAAAAATCATTTAGCAATCTCATTAACATGTGCTCACGGGCGAGGGCTTTCGTTGGAACAGGTGTTGTTCCGATTGTGGTCTGTTCATGTGGGCTCAGCGTGAATCCTCGAGGAGATAATCGAAGTGAAGCCAAAAATAATTAGACAGTTCGGGCAACAAGGAGTGAAATTAATTAAAAAATTCAGTTGAATGAAGACCCCAGCACTTAATCAGTTTCGCTGGGGAAACTTTCCGCTCGCTCTGTAAATGCGAGGCAATTGAGACCAAGACCGAGGGTAGTAATTGCGGAGCCCCCAAACGACATTGTACCAGCTTGATGTGATGGGCCGAATTGACAACTTGGACTTTAGACCCCTCGAGGCGCCTGCATTCGATGCTTCGAAGTGGGAATCCAGAATTCTGACTTGGAGCAGCAGACAGACAGGCTAGACGCCATCGGGCTGGGGTATATTTAGATTTTCTCTTGGGGACAAAGTCCACTTACGAGTCAGGCGCCAGACGTGTGAACCAAATTCGAATTTTATCGAATCGCACTCGCACTCAATTCACTCAATCATCTGGCTGCAGTAAAGAGCAATTAACGCGAATTGTCAACGCGGCCACGCATGCAGCTCGTGTCCGCCGGAATTTCAAAGGGGGGCAGGCTATCCACTAGCCATTCGGAATTAGGAATTAGAAATTAGAAATCCGGATGATGCATAGAACAGACCCCACGAATGCCAAGTCATGACGTCTCTCGCATGTCCAATAGATGACGCCGTTGGCACTCGGTGCTTACCCGCGCCTTGCCTTTCTTTTCAACGCCTTTTGCCAAATGTATAAATAAATCGGTGCTTTATTATCGCCGGCTAGTGTCCGATCTAAAATTAGCGGTATATTCTCGCTTACTTTGTTAAATTATTTCGGGTTGATGTGTGGTCAGTTTTATGCTCTCCCAGAGACACTCGGGACATGCGAGCAACACACATGCCGCGAATTAGTGGGAAAGGTGTTAACGAGCACTCCCAGGGGGGTTAATCAAATCAATCTGGCTGTCAAAATGGTGTAAATAGATAAATTTAGAAGATGAGGAAGCAACTCGGTGACTCGGTGACTAAGCATAATATTATCATTGCGGCTACAAAGATGAATATTGCATATTTTGGTAAAAAATAAATCATAATAGAAAGTCAACAGTGTGCTGAGCTTATATCTACTCTTCTTTCTTATTCAAGGGATTTCCAAACCCATATGACCCTCTTTAGAACCTCTAATGTTAACCTCTATAGTAAAAGACCTTTATACTATCTAACTCGTTTTGATCATAGCCAACAACTCGATGGTTCCATATGTCCCAGACTGTCTGATTAGCCAAACTGAACTTTGTAATTCCAGCCCATTGGTTCTAACTTTATTTTATAATTATCAAAAATTATAAGCACAGGCCACAAGTGATTCATATATTCCGATTGGTGAAACAAAGTCTAAACATGATAGAATTATCAGCTGTCGGGTGACGACGATTAAAGGAAATTTAAAAATTTCACAAAAACTGCCGAGTGCAGATCTTGACTTTAGATTGACGATAAGGTGCATAAAACACACCAAATAAACAAAAATATGCAAACACATTAAAACTAAGAGTGCCAATCAGGGGCACGTGTAGCCTTGCCCTAACCTCGACCACCAAAAATATTGATACCACAAGAAGCACAAAATAACAAAAAAAAACATAGGAAAAAACCAGAAACACCATCACAATCTAATCTAACGATGCAGGCCAGAGGATTTTGGGGGCAAAACGTAGCATTACCTCACCGATGATGGGCTACGCCGCCTGCCGCAATTTGACACAGAAATGCCCCCAATTCCGATCGATTGCCTTCGATGACACAGCAACCCCAATTGCAGCTGACCACGGCCAGATTGAGCGCGTGCCGCGTTCACTTATCGCCAGCGGGAGCAAGTTCAAGTGGCGCTGCCCACTGTGCGGCGGCGATAACAGCCACTGTGCGGCGGAGGAGATAACTGCGTGAGCGAGTGCGTGTTTACATGCCGCTCTTCGGTTCGATTTGGTTCAATCATTCATTAATCATGGCGACCGATCGCGATCGCCGGATTGACTTGAGCTCGAGGACTGGCCAAAACAATGGCCGTTAAATTAACTTTTCCGGCCATTACTGATTGCCGAGCAGGGGTTCTCAAGATAAATAATACTATATGAGGGGAATCACGAACAGTGCTTGTGTAAGCGTATGGCCGAACGCCTGATAGAGTCGTGTGAAGGCAAACACTATCCAATATCGTGATTTACTGAACTTAAATAGATTATTTCTAGTAAGTCATTGTGTTTATATATATTTATAGGCAAAGATTTTTGCTTGATATAAAAGACTTTTTAAATTTAGAAATTTTGTTAAGGAGGAAATAGTATTTATTTTCAGAAATAGAATAGAATTCTCTATTAGATTTCAATTATAAATTAAATTTCCCGTTTAAACAGCACCCAGAATCCATTTTTGCTTGATATAAAAACCTTTTTAAATTTAGATTTAAGGCGAAAATTGTATTACATTTCAGAAAAGTTGTAAAGGGAACAATACAGCCCAATAAAAAATTTAATTAAATAATTAACCCAATTCTTTATAAGAACTGAATTATAAACTAGATTTCCCCTTAACGCATCTACTATTCCCAAAATCCATAAAAAAACCATTAAGCAACTTATTTTTATAATACCTTTTGTCATTTATTTCTTTATTCTTTTTTTGTCTTTTCGCTTTTTTCTGTTCCTTCGGTCGTATTATGTATTTATAATATTTTTAGTTGTTCATCTTCCTGTTTCATGTTGAATTAATCTTAACTTGGTTTAATTATTTTATTTATGTATTACCATTTACTTATAATTTCCGGTTTTTAATTAGAATAATGAGCAAGTTTATATTAATTTATGTAAGTATGCGCTTATTTTTTTTTTCATTTTATCTTAACAGTTAGGTTTTTTTGCAAATATTTTCCTTTACTTTTACTAATTCTTAAAAGTTTTCATTTACTTTAATCTATTAGGTGAAATTCTTTGTAGACTTGCAGGTCTATATGTATGTATATGTGTGTGTGTGTGTAGTCGTAGGTGTGTTGCATAACAAAAGGTGTGTGTTAATTTTGTATTTATCCAAATTTGAAGCTTTGTCGAACAATTTCGATATTTATTTTTAAGCCGTTTTTGTGGGTCACTGGAATATACAGATATATATGAATTACACTTGTGTACACATTTATTTGTATTTCATACTGCTTTGCTTTTGCGATAAACATTTATATTTTCAAATCTCATAATGACAAATTTAATGAAACAACAATTTCTCTCACAACTTAAAAGTTGCTTGTGTTTAGCTTAGTTTTTTTATTTTTCATTTATTTCAATGCCTTGGACAACAATAACAGAATTTATTTACGTTGAATATTACTCGATAGAATGCCTTGAGTTCCAAATAACGATTTTAGTCAGTAACTGGTTTCTAATTTTACATGAAAGTTGTATGCGTAGTTGTCGTTCCATTTTGCTGAGCTTTGGTCTCAATTTGTGTCCAGAATGCGGCAATTAAAAACAAAAACTATTAATCAAATTAGGAGCGGCAAATAAGGAAGTATTACTTTTTCTTTGTGTCTGAGGAGAGAGAGTTCTTAAAGAATTCGCCCAATTACATATTCTATGCAATTGTGTGCTTTTTATTTCGCTTCGGATTGCTTTTCATAAATGTTCCGTATAGAAAGATGCTTGTATATAGGGTTTATAGAGAGCAAAAGTGTGTGTTTAGTATTATAATAATAGTTCATTTTCGTTTCATTCTTGTGGTTTTGTTTTAGCAAAAAGCACGATTTCCAAAAAGCAAAAATCGCATTGTCAAAAATTTGATTTAATTGGTAAGTTAATAATGGTAGTTTTAATTGTTTTTCTTTTGTTTTTCCATTCCATTAAGACCAATAAACGTTACAATCGTTTTTCGTTCTCGTTTTCTTTTTCTTTTTCGTTTTTCCTTTTCTCTTTTGTTTTTCAATATAGGTATTCATATGTCTTTAGAAAATTATGGACTACACATACAAACATTCGATTTCATTATAAAAATAAACAAACATAGAAAATGTTTCAGAACGTTTATATTATATTATTAATACATCTGTAAAGAGTGTCCTTTAACTTGTTATTTTGATATGGAATTTGTTGTTTTTGCAAAAAGTTGAATACATAAATATGTTTATTATTTTCGAGTTGAAGTTATGCGAAGGAGATGCAATCTATATGCAATTTTACAGTGGATCCTTGAGAGCGCAGGAGTGAGTGAGAATGCGACCGATGAATAGAGTGAGTGAGAGAGAGAGAGGGATAGAGGGTAATGATGGGGGGAGGGGGGTTGTTATATTGTGTTATGCCCTTTCTGGCCTACCAGGTATTCCGTGTCCTTCAACTTTCAACTGCCTCAGCACAAGCTCTCTCTTACATTCTCACCACTCTCGCCGCTTAAAGTCAGTCAATGTCCCCCAGCCACACACATGCACCAAACACACACACGCACGCAAGCATTCCGGTTGCGGTTCCGGTTCGCATATCAAGCATACGCACTGGTGTCCCGCTCAGCACTAACACACTGCTCTCACGCACTGCAACATGATCATTATCGTCGGCATTGTCATCGTTTAACAAACAGCGCTTACGAGATACGACTTACAATTGATTACTGGTTTCGACTGGTGTATTATAAATAGGGTTTATTACATATTTATATCAAGTATTCTGCTAATATTTCTTCTAATGCTTGTATGGATCTATCTGCCCATTGCCTGCGTCTCCATCTTGCGAAACACCCAGCCCTAACTAACAATATTATCTAGGTTTCTATGGGTGTATGAATGCTTTTTGGTTTCCTTCGTCGACCCTCGATCCTCGACAGCTTATAGCCGTCGAGGCGGTGACCTTTGAAATTGCTAATGCCTGGTTAATGACGTTCGAGTTAAATGTTTCCTTTTATATATATACTTCCTTACATAATCGTATTTTATAATTTAAGTTAATTAGTAGTTATTGATTTATAAATTTTGTTACTTAGTATGGATTTCTTTTCGTTTTTCGTTAAGTATTTTTAATGGAAGACATTTTTTATACAAGTTTAAGACACAGAAAATATTCTTTCTTTATATATTGTTTGTGTGATTTGTGGGTTTCGAGTGTGTAGAGTGTCCGTGAGTGAGTGTAGATGTGTGTAGGTGATTATGTAGGTGTTTCTATTTTATTTCTTTAAATAGTTTTGTATGTTCGTTTAGAAAAGAATAGAATGGATATTTCTAAACTCCGATCGATATGTTAATTTCTAAATAGTAGAAACGTAACAGAACAGAAATTGAATTACAACTTGAAAGGTAAATCAGAATGTAGGAGTAGCTCAGTTATTCGATTTGCTTTTCTTTTCCTCATTTCTTTTTTATTATACATATGCATGAGGTTTGTATAAAAATGTATACAAAATAAATTATTATTATTTTTGTTTTTCTTTTAATTTTTTTTGCTTTCTTTCCTTCTCTGCAAAACAATTAAAATATTTGCCATCTTTTCATGGTTTCTGTTCAAAATTGGATGTCAACCATATGCATATATCAGCGGATGTATGTACGATATTAACTGTCTATAACTTGGTTTTGTGTACCTTTGTTCTTTACATTGCTGTCGGGTAATTCAAGTCTTCCGTTTGTTCAGTGAATTCGATTTAGTTTGGTTGTAAAATAGATATAATACTTTATATTTGTGCGTACGCAGTTGAGTTTAAAAGTAACTCAATCTAGTTATTACTCGTGTTGTACGTTAGAAAAGAGGAAAGAAACGAATTAGTTATCGGTAGGAATTTTGTTCATTTTGAATACTTTCTTGATGCTATATACACAATCTGATCGACTGATGGCTATTTCTCGTTCGTATTGGGTTTTTTGCACTCATATTTTACGTTTTTTTTTTTCTATGCTTGTCTCAATTAAATCAGTGACTTTGGTAACGGATAAACAAAGCTCGCTCTATAAAGTACCATAAGAATTATGTGACTAAACCGTTCAAGTTAAAGTATTCAAGTTATTGCACATATAGATAAGGAAGTTACCTTTAGCTATCGTTTTGCCTAAAACATCTCCTGCAAATTATTGTCTACAAACATATTGGATATAAACTCGTTAGTAATTATTATTTGAGTAACGCTGCTTGCGGCTGCAATCCGTCTAATAAACATTTGATTATTACCTTTGTCCCTCGACTAAAGTGGTGGTTGAGGGACTGCTAATAGTTCCTACTTCGGCTTTTTCAAATCAACGAACTCAAACTGCGTGTTTTCCCGGATCAAGAGTGATTTTTCTACCCTCTAGTGCCGCCTCCGCTTCGAGAAACACAAAAAAACCCTAGTTCTCAGAGCATACTTAGTGCTCGTATCACGCATTGGCCAGCACAAAGGTCACGGTCACCATCAGGAGATGGGCCACGATCACCGAACCGGACATGTGCAGCAGGGGGCTGCCACGGCCGCACTGCTGTATTTCGATCTCCTCCGGATGGTAGTTTATGCACTTTCTAGGTCGTCGCCGGGACTCCTGCTCCTGGCTTTGTCGTCTCGTACTGCAGGCTCCTGTTAAACCAAATTTATGGGAATTTAACATACCATTCCAGAGAGAAAACCTTGCCAAATACCCACCAATCACGCCCGAGTCCTCCAGCGGCTCAATATCCAGCTGCTTGGAGCCACACGGACACAGGGTGTCCACCACAAGCAGAATGAGATTGCTGTGCGGAATCTTTTGAACGCTGAATGGGCGTTCGCAGCCGGAAGCATGGCAATTGGTCAGCTTGCCCTGAAAGAGGATATGTATTACAGCAGGAAAAACAAAATACTTTTCATAATGTCACCCACCTTGAGCGGATTATTCTGGCCACCCTGGTTGAGCCTTTCGGGCTGCAACATGTAGAGATCCGTGGCCAGATCGCAGCGCCTTGCGTTCTGCGGATCCGGCGTAAAACGGGGTCCGGCATGGGGTTTATGCTGCCTGACAGGCGGCGGCGTTGTATATTCCTATAAAAAGTACCACCAAATAATTAATTTCACTAAATATAAATTTGTATTCTATTTTATTCTTACCACATCGGCGGTGGTGAAGAACTCATCCATTTCCTGATCCACCGGCATATTGTATTCATTTCCAAACTCGTATTCATCCGAGTAGTTGTTGTCCACAAAAACAACGTCCTCGTTGTCGTAGGTATACTCGTCCTGTGGCCAGGCACGCAGCGAGGCCGGCATGAGGGACAGCCAGGTGGCACTCAGGGCCACAAGGTGGCTGAAGAACCAAGAGCCCAGACGATTCGGTTTCAAGATGCCACCGGCAGCCGTATACGGATTGTCTGCATCCGAGCAGACACCCTGATAATCGTTGACTGTCACCCGCTTGTAGATGCGATCCTGCACCAGGGAGTCCATAATGGTGCCATCGATCTGACCAAAGAACTTGCCCGTGTGCTCCATCTCCTCGGATATGATTACAAAGCCGCTGTTATCCAGCACATAGCAGTCCAGGTTGTCCGAGGCGCAGGTTCTCTTGCAGCCCGTCATTCCAGTGCACTGTAAGAAAATGCTTGGGTTTTAGCTTAGTTATTATGAGAAGGCGTAACGACTCACGGCAGAGGTGATGTTTATGAAGTGCTTGGCCAGGGAATCGTGCTGGAACTGAAGGCCCACGACCCCCGCCGGTGCCTTGTGGCCGCGATGCTCCACAAAGATGGCATGCGAGGCTGTCACCAAGGTGGCATTGGACTTGATGGCATAGCCCGAGCCAAAGGGCACGCTGTACACGAAGCTATCCGGCTCCACCGAGTGCTGGTCTATGGCGCGCTTGTACCAGGATGTGTCCATGGCCCTCACGTTGTCCTCGCTAAAGTGTCTGTAAGGGTAACTAGTTTTATGAGTGGAAATGCAAAAGGTTAAATTAAATCTCACGGTTCGGGGGTGTCCTCGGGTCGCTTGATGTGGTCAATCCAGCGCAAAAGACCCGACCTCGTGGCCACGAATGAGGTGGCAACCACAAACTTCTGATAGCCTTGCCTAAGAAAACAAAGAAAATCCAAATTAGATTTCACGGAATTGATTTGGTTTTAACAATTAAGGGCCAGCGTTAAGTAGGTCTACGGGATGTTCCTTCAAGCCTAATCCGTGGGCTGGTCCTCTAAGGCAGTGGCAATGGTTCAAAGCTACTCCAACTCCATTCAAATTACTCATCGATTTACCTCTTTAGTATTGCCATTAATGTGGCGATGGGACTATAGAAATTATTCATTATAAAATTGTGCATTTCAGTTGTCAGAAAATTAACATTCAAGAATTATTTGCGGTGAGGGAGAATTTTCATATTATTCATGTGAGAAGTATTAGCAAAAGAAGAGAGAATTGTTGGCCATCAAAGAAATAGAGTGAGGAAAATATGTGCGGAGAGAAAACGGTTTTTGTGCTTTAGTAAAGTTTATAAACGAAAAGTTCAGAAGCAGGTGAATAAATGCAACAACAACTGATATGGTGATAAATTATAAATACTTAAAAACAAAATAATACATATTAATTGGTGCCTTTAACCAAAGAAAAAAAATAATATTCATAATGCTCGTAACTGGCAAACGCAGGGCTAACTTACTGCTTGTCCTCCTTGCCGCTGGAGGTGCCTGTCGTGTTCCTGTCGAGACCATCGGTGACCATGGCGTCGCGCACCAAGCTCTGGATGAGGGTTCGATCGCAATAGTAGGGCTCAGCCTTGCGAGATCCCTGAGAGTTCAGGTGCTGCGACCCAAAGTGGCTCGATCCGGGCGCATTGCCGTTGGAGCCACTGTGCATATTGTGATGTGGCTGCGGCGACTTGGGTCGAACCTGAAGCGAGGAGGAATTTCCAGGATTAGCACTGTGCTTGGATGGGTGCACTGACCCGTTCTTCCAGAATTCGACTGCTTACCGACATCCACTTCCAACCGGGGCGTCCGGCGCGAGCCAGAAAGTGCAATACCTGCTCCTCCGGTGACCCAAAGCTGGGCTCCTGATCCCGCGAGGAGTACTCGCCAGAGCTCTCCCTCTCCTTCTCCAGATCGCTTACGCTATTGTACTCGCAGTACACCCAATCTGGATGTACGCGCCAGTTGTCTCCCTTGAAGTATTCGGTAACTGAAATGGAAATATAATTAGATTGGACATTTGCAGGATTTTAAATCTCAGCGGGAGAACTCACCATTGTTACGCGAATGCCGGATCTCCTGCTGGGAGACAAACTCGTGGCTACCGTATTTCTCCGGGAGCACAATAGCCAGCGTAAAGGGAGTGTCCTCGATGGGACCGTAGAAGTAACGATGCGTCCGGGTGGACACTCGCTTGGACTCGTCGTAGTGGTTCAGCACGGTGAACTCGGTTTCGCCCTCCTTGGGCTTGATCATGTCGCCGCGCATCTAGGATTAAGGAAAGTTATTACAAGATCTAATATAGTATAAAATCTAAATTCAAATATAGATTAAACTTAAATCATTTTTTCAAGTAGATTTCGAAAGTCACAAGCAAGTATTCTAGGACATCATCAACCCACCTCATTGAGCAGATTCTTGTTCATCTCTATTATCTCGTTATTGTTGCCAATCTCCGTCTCCGGCAGTTCCAACTCCGTGATGTCGACGGAGGCATACTTGGGCTTCAGCTGATCGATATACTGGTTGGCATCGCTGAGGGGCCGCAGGTCCGGATGGTAGAGCGCCCGCCCGTTGTTATCGACGATGAACGAATAGCCATTCGGACCCAGTTTGTGCTGGGGGATCACCTTGCGGATCTCCTCGATGGGCACATCGGTGCCCACCACGCCCAGCAGATTGGCGACGCGCACCGAATGGTTTCGTCTATCGAAGACCGGAGTTGAAACTGTCGTCACAAGGCGTCGCTGGTACTCCGAATCGCGTCCCAAACCGCCCGACTTGCCGGCCACGAACACGGGACTCCAGTGGACCGGGTGGTCCGCCTGGTACATGATCATGGGCCGGGCCATCACCAAGGCGTAGTCGATCACCTTGCGGCGTGCCTCCTCATAGTCGTTGATCTGGACGAAGAAGCCTTTGTTCGAGCAGGCCATGTCATGCAGGTTGCTCCGGCTGCCGGAGTCGCTGCCAATTAGGTACGTGAAGATCCTCACAGGCATGTGCGGCCAGTTGTACTGCTTGATCACGTCCTTGTGCGACTCCGAAGTGCTCTCCGTGATCAGCATGATGGCCTGGTTGCACTGGCTTCCGGCTCCAGATTGGTTGTACTAAAAAAACAGGTGGAAATTTTGGGTTACTTCTCCTGTTGCCATGTCTCACCGGGTACTCCTTACCTTGTGCAGCAAGCTAAAGGCGTACTCCAAGCCGGCAGTAAAGTTGGCCGTATCCTGCAGCTTTATGGCCTTAACGGCCGACTTGATTTCTTGGATATTATCCGGCGTGGCTCGAACCATGCGATCCTTGAAACACGGCACTGGCGTCTTTACCGCCTCCGAGAAGGTGATGAGGTTCACGAAATCGTCCTCACCCAGTGTGTCCAGTATGTTGAAGGCGGTGGCCATGCCCAAGTCAAACGATTTTTCCGACATGCTCGAAGAGGAGTCCAAGAGAATCATCTACGAGTTGGATTTATTTTATTTATTTTAAATGATTTATATTTATTTTCTATGGGAGATACTCACAATGTCCTTGGGCGAGGAGGCGGCCTGCACGAACCAGTTGTGCGTGCGAAAGTCGTGGATGAGCTTGCTGCCCTTGGAGCCCTCTGGGGGCCAGGCAGTGCCCGGAAAGCGGCGCAGGAAGCCCGCGGAAGAGCCGAAGTATTGCCAGGACAGGGCCGGATCTTGCTCTAAGTTGTTCTGGAAGAGCGGGTCCAAGTGGGCGCTCCACTGCAGCGCCGACTTGACGTCCGCCTCGTCCAAGTCGACGCCGTGCGGCACCAGAATCGAGCTTAGACTGAGATTGACCGGCAGACGCTCGAAGCGCCGCATGAACCGGATGTCCATGTGACGTGCTCCGTCCGCCAGCTTGCCATCGGCATTGTACTCGTTGATCCGCCGGGCGTCGTAGTGCTGCTGTCCGCCCGCCGGCGACTCGGCCTGTCCCTGGCCCTCCAGCTCCGAGAGTGCCGCCTGCTCGGCAGAGTCCATCAGGCGCTGGAAAAGAGTAAAAGGAAGAGAGAGAGAGTTGTTGCACATCAATCTGCTTAAATATTTCCCATTTCTCCTCTCCGGCGGATATAAGATTGGGCGTGGGTCGGAAAAGTTGGAAAACTTTCCACGCTTTATGCAATTTATTCTCTTGGCGGAGACTTAAATTGCACAAAGCAATGGAGTTTGCTTTGCTTTCTTTTGGCCAACTTTTAGTTCGGCTTGGTTGTGTACAGTGTGTACACTGTGAGTGAGTGTGTAGTAAGTGTGCGGATGTATCTGTGCACAGTGCTCGAAGAGCAGCTTAAAAGTATGCTAACACGTACATTATTCACCCCCCAGAAGCATGTTTAGAGTTTGTTTCCACAATATCAATTCAAAATGAAGATGTTTAGCCCTTTGAGCTGTGAAATATGTTTTCAAAAACTTATAGAAACTGAGTTTAACATTTACTGTTTGCATTTTCAAATAGTTTTGTACTCTTAAATATTTAATGCAAATATATTTTCGTAATGAATCTCATAGAATATATTATATTTTCTGTTCAATACCAATGGCTTTTCAATTTAAGACCCAAGATCCAACAAATCACTGGGATGCTGTGCGGGATTTTGCAACTTGGCGCACAAATTATTCTCACAAGTTTAGCCCGGCGGTCCCCACAGTATGCATTTTCATAAGACGCAAACAAGAACTTTAGCTGCAGCGAAATTAGACCCAAAGGGGGCAGATACTTGCTCCGAAGGAGGACAAACACCTGCAGTTACAGACACAGACACCGAAGGGTGGGGCTCCTCCCCTCCGGTCGCCTCTTCCACCTAAAGATGCTGCAGTGGCCAACGAGCAAGAACTGCATGTGGGTGCATTGAAATAGTTCAACTACTTTGGCACAATGGGGCATGGGGAGTGGGAAAGACAGGCTGGAAGACGGAATAAAAATGCTGGAGTCTCTGGGGTCCAAGCCCGAAGAAGATTTCAATGTAAATTGGCTGCCGTTGGCGCTGGCGCCACGGGAATGTGTCAGCGACTCAGACAAATGGGAGCGAGCGAAGGCAGAGGGGAGCCCCTGAAAACTTATTTCCAGGTGGGGACGACTCCCACTCCAATCCCCCCTGCTATCCAAAGTTATTTGCACATTTTTCGAGCGCTCGAATTAGTTAAGGAGTCTTAAAGTTTGGCCGAAAAGGTGTTGAGTGGCAAGCTAGTTAAGGCATTAAATAATAAACACTGCCAAAAGTGAGTCAATAGAGAAAGGAGCACGCCGGTAGTCCGGGTAAGTGAGTGAGTCCTGGGGTGGGTGGGAACTTCCTTGTGCGGGAGAAGTTCCAATCGGATTTCGAGTCCTTGGTTAGCAGCAGCAACCGTAACTCCGTTGCCATGGCCCGAGGGCAGGTACAAGTAGTTAAAGTTGCTGCAAACTAGTTATTCAATTTGGCTGCTCCCGTAGGTGTCCGTGGGAGAAGGAAAATTAGGGGTTTGGGAGGAGTTTTTACCAGAGTAAAGTTTCAATTTAAAAGTAGATTAGAAGATTTAATCATTTGTGAATGTGCAGGGTAGAAGCTTTTACATTTGAGAGTCTTTAGAAAATGTAATCAATATTATAATACTACTCCATATTAGAGTGACTTTTAATGATTTCCTAAGTTGAACATTCCCAGAGGAAAGCCAACTTTATTGAAAAGTTTCTCATCCCAAATTGATTCATCAATTATTTTATGAGAGTGGCTGGCTGTCTGTCACTTAGACCCCCTTGTTGTTTTCCAAGTCTAGCTATGTCCCATGTAAATAATTTCCAACATTCGTAGTCGCTTTGTCTAACACGGCTCGAGATGGGAAATAAAAAGGGCGACAGACAAAACATGGCCGTGTATTATGAAATATTTGTTGCACATTTTCTTTTTTACAATATTATGCACTTATGGAAAGGTCGAGGCAGCCCCACACAGAAGCGAAGTGCACAGGAAGGGCGCCAAAATGGGGTGGCTTCGAGTCAGAAAGGGTTGCGTGGATCAAGCAGGGTGGCGCCGGGTGACATTGGGCGTGGATGGGGGGTCTCCGGGGCTTGGAACAGACCCTGAGCAATGCCCTCTCGCACACAATTCTCATTTGACACCAGCTGGCTTCCCTGTCGCTCGTCCGTGCAGCTGTCGACATCTTAACATTCAAAAGCCAACAATGACAATGCTGGCAAGGAGTGGGTCCCGGACTCTGGAGAGGTGGGTTTCAGATCGAGACCGAGACTGCGACTGAGACTGCGGCTGAGGAGACCTGCTCGAATGTCAACGGAGCAGTGTCTGGGCTCTGCCGGAATTAGCAAAATGCAGCTACTTGCACGCAATTTGTTCGCAAGGAGGCAGCAGCAGCAGCAGCAGAAGCAGAAGCAGCAGCACGTTGGGCGTTGGCTGGAGCAACAGCCTGAAAGTATGCTGGGGAAAACGAACCCGCGTTGACCATTTGCCAAGTGAAAAGCCAGAGCCAGCCGAGTGACTACACTCCTTGCACTCCCCACTCTCCCCGCACTCCCTCCCGGTCCTTCGCTGACTTCGCTGGATAATGCAAGATGTGTGTTTAAGCTACGATTTCTGTCCGCCCTGAGACCTTTCTTTGCTCAGCTTTAGCCTTGGCTTCTTCCTCCTTTTGCGCACATTTTTTTGGTCGCTCAATATATTTGCCGTCTGAATGGACGTGCCAAATGTTGAGGCAATAAGTTTTTCAGCCAAAAGAGAAATTTATATTACGTTTTAATATGGATTCAACTAAATATTTGACGATGCCTCGCCAGGGATGGGTCTTAAATGCAGGAATTCTACTCGTGCCAACCCCTGATTAGTGCCAGCAACCAGGGAGACTGACATCGAGTGGCTGTCACCTGCCCCTCCAGCACCTGTCTCTCTCTCTCCGTCCAAATCTGTTGGGTATTTTCAGCCACAAGTGTGACTGGCTGACTGAGCTGCCGCGCCACAGTCACAGTTACAGTTACAGTCACAGTCGCATCTGATGCGGTCTTCTTTGGGGATTATAAACGCTTTTTTCCCGGGCCAAAGTGCAACTTTGCATTGTGGTTGCTTCTTTTCTTCCGGGGCGGCAATGACTTGAGCACGTATGTATCCTGCTAAGCTGTGTGGTTTCGGTTTGGCATAGGCAAGTAAAAGAAGCTCATAACTTAAAGCCACATACACAAAGATGAGTGCATCGTTTATGATGAAAAATTACTTTAAAAAATACTTAAAACCTTTAAGATATTAAATTATAAATTGGTTTGACTATAAGCTGAGTCTAAAACGTCTTGAGATTTTTTTGGGTTAAATTAGCTTAATCAGCAAATCATGTATTATGAGGGAACAATTCCAGAGATCATAGTAATACATTTCATAAATATGAACTGGCAACTTTTTCTTCACAAGTGCAATTACAATGTTAAAGTAGCAACTGTCATGAAATGTTTATGCTGCGAAGGTTCTGAAGATTGGCCTTTCATTTCTTGGCCCTTTTTTTAGTGGAAGGCAAATGCTTTTAGTGTGAAGACATTTACTTGCCTCGTTGTTGCATGTTTCTATTTAAAACACCCGAACAGCTTTCCAATACACTCGATATGCACACTCACACACACACACAGCCATCTTCTTGGCCATCTATTTTCCCGTCTCGCTCTAACTGCTTTTGCCATCTCGCTTGCACAATGTCAACGTCAAAGTGCAAGTGGCATTATAGCAAAGAAGTCAACAGTGAACAGGAAGGCAGGGTAAAGAGTGGCATGGAGTGCCTTCTCGCCGGGCAGAGACACTGCGGAAAATGTATGGCTGCTAGGGCAGAAGGGGCGTGGCAGTGGCCCTTTTTTCCGCCATTAAATGCAATTTTAAAGTCAATTTTAACTGGGAAACGAATGCAAATAAATGCTGTCAGCGACAGGACACAAGAGAGTCAGGACACAGCGATTAGTGGGCAGAGAGGCGGCGTAGGTGGCAAGTTGCCACTGCACTGGCAACAGTTCAGTTAAAGCGGCATTGACAGGCGTTGATAGAAATCGAATTAGCAGCGGCGATTGCCACACACGTTGCCAGCACTCAGCGTTGCAGCCCCCTCCTGCCCCAAAGGGGAGGAATACAAATTATTACGCATACGCCACCGAACAAAGTGGAAAATGAGATGCATGCGAGCCTGCATGTGGCCGTGACTGAGTGTGTATTCATCTGTATCCTTGTGTGTGTGTGTGTGGCATCTGCAGTTGCCTTTATGTTTACAGGCAATTAGCATTTTAATGCCGCACCAAACAAAAGGCAACTGCAGGTGCCCGAGCGAATGATGCGAGGAACGGGGCGAGAGTGGGTGCGATGCCACCAGGGCAGTGCTTGTGGCGGAGCAGGCGGTATGGGGGGCTAGCAGGTGCTCGCCTGGCCGCGCACGAGTTGGTTTTCATTATTTTCCATGTTCGACATGAACGCAAATTGTCGACGGCAGACGGGCGGCAAGTGCCGGAGCTCTTAGTTCCTGCCCTTTCCCTCCAGATGCAGTTCGATTAACTCCGGTAAGCTTGAAATTGCTCAAAGAAAGTCATTTTAAGCTTGGCTAGCTAATTGAATAAGGTATCAATATTTTGTTTCCTCTGCTACATATTATTGGACCAATGATTTAATAGTAGATATTAAGCTTAATGCAGCAAAGCTTTTAAAACCAATAAATATTATGCGAAAAAAAAAAAAAAAAAAAAAAACCAAAAATATTTTACATTCTAAAAATACCTACAAATTACATTGATAGCAAATTAAGAATTAATTCTAAATAAATAAATTAATATAACACATAGGCCTATACAGCGGTCCGACTGATGTCGAAGCTCATTAATGATAATTAGGGTCAAACATTCGAGTTCACAAATAATTTTACAAAAACTGATTATTCATAAGTTGATAACGCAGAAATATATATTTTATTACAATTTTATTATCATAAAAAAGTTAAGTTTCCTAGAATATGTAATATAATATTGAAACAGTCTATAGATCACCTTATTTTATGGTATTGTATAAGCACTTTTGTTGTTTTTGATTTCAAGTCGATGAACTAATTATAATTATGGCGCAGATAAGCAAACAATATATATATTATATATTGTTGTTAGTAGATACACAACAGATTGAGTGGGAAACGAGTTTAGTTGCTAACATGCGCGAGCTATAAATATAACGTATACGCAATGTTGTTTGTACCATAGCCGTGGATCAATGAAATGTGCGTTGACCACTTTGCCTGCATGTGCAGCGGTTTAATAACAAATATTTTAGCTTCACAAATTACGATTAGTGCGACATTGGGTTTGTTTAAAGTATTTTATTCACAGTGCCCTTAATAATGACACATTTCTAGTTCAATCGGCAAGTGCTATCCCCGCCTCTGATGCTGATTCTCAACACAGTTCAGGTGAGATTGTAAATTATTTATATCGATGACCAGGTTGCCGTTCCTCGAATAGAAGCCACCGCTGCAGGCGGGAGCAGCTGCCACCCAGGATCCTGCCATCAGGCAGAGGCACCCAATGAGCAGCAATAGGACGAAGGTGTGCGAATCCATTTCCAAGCGAGCCGTTCGTTGCAATCAGCGGAGTGAAACTGCCCGTTTGGGTTGACTGCTGGCCGAGATTATATGCCGGCGTAATCGATTCGGGAGATTCCCACAATCCAGGGCCGCACTCGAGAGACGCGAGCGTACTGCGCAGCTACTAGAGTGAGTGCGGCAATTACCAGGCGGAGAACAGGTCAACAAGTGCTGGAATCGCTGAGCTCTTCCCGTGCAAAACTCGTTGCTCGCCGGAGGAATTTCCAAAGCCAATTGAATGACGACTGGACTTGTGTTTGCCATTACCAAGTCGAGTGAGGTATTCTCAGTATCGCCCACAGAAGAACGGTAGCCTCAAGCAGCACACAGACAAAACCCTCTCCGGTGACGCCTCTGCCGGCCAGAGCTGGTCAGGCGTCTTAAGTCTAGGCGCCCCATAAAACCTGTATCTTTCATATGGCAATTACAAACTGGGCATCGCCCAGTATCTAATGAAAATTGTTACGGTAATTGAAACTTACTGGGAAATCTTTTTCTTGGCAAGTTTTTGATAGATATTCCTCAAATTTTAAACACAAAACACTCAAAAAATAAATCATTTTGCAAAACAAATCGGCTTTGATTCGCTACCTTTAAAATTTGCTTTAATCAAAAATTCAGTTGTATAAATTTAGCTTTCGGAGAAGCATTAAGTAAAGTAGGTCTGCGAGCTTAGTAAAGTAGGACTGCTACCAATAAAGATTTATAATCTTAAATATAATGGGATCCTCCTTCGTATTCGTATTTCGATTTTTTCTAAGTCAAGGAATCATTTCCGACCCCATAAACCATATATATTCTTGATCAGCATCAACAGGGGAATCTTTCTAGACATGTCCGGAAGAAATCGATTTTTTTGTCATTTTTGCGAAATTTGATAAGGGGTTACATCATTAAAATTTGCAAAAATGGCCAAAAATTTTGATTTCTTAAAATTTTAAATTTGGTATGCAGTTTTTTTAAATTATTAAAAACTAAATCAAAACTGCTTTCCGAATCGAAATTAATGCATTTTTGGCTTAGTTATGCTATCTTTTAATTGTTACCTGCAAGGGTATACAAACTTTGGCTGGCCAAAGTTAGCTTTCTTTCTTGTTCTATCTAATAATAATAATATAACATTTTAAATATAATATAAATACACAGTAATGACAGACAGTCATTGCTAGATCGACTCGGCTGTTACTGCTGGTGAACAATATACATATATATATATGTATACACTTTATAGGGTCACATAAGAGGTACCAAGATTTCGACTCCCTATATCCTCTGCTTGTGGCGCATTTCGCGTCGCTTTCGGACTGTTTCTGATGTTGCCACGTCTGTGGTTGGTGTCCATGTAGGTTGATTTTTAATTAATGGTGCTTCCTATGCGTTTTGCGTTAGGACCCGAACTTCCGGCCAGCGGAAGCCATTGGGGAGGGAGTGGCGAGGCGACAGCATCTGCGTAATCTGAAACGATGCGTAGGCTGATGTGTGCGTGTCCGCAAGAAACCAAAGAGGCCGACTCCAAAAAAAAAAAAAAAAATACATATATGTACATACATATATATTTATGCGCACACAAAACAAATTTAATCGATATTTTCCCGAAATCATAAAAAATTATTTATGTATACCCACGCACTTGGACGTCGGTCCGTGGGTCCGTCGAGCCATGGGGATACACAGAAAGTCGGTGCCCCTGCGATGATTATAACATTTAATTGTTAAGCCGGGCTTACCAACGATGACTGTACACCGTACGTGTGGCGAGTTGTAAATAATTTCATAATTAAATTAAATGGATGCGAGGAGTTGATGCAGTAGGGCATATAAAACAATTTGCCATTAGGGGCCCAGAGAGAAAACTTTCTAGCAGATGAATGGCCTGACATCGAAGACGAATGACGCTGGAGGAGGAGTAGCAGGAGGAGCAGCAGGAAGGCAGTCTAAGGAGACACTTTTCCCAAACAATCAATCAAAATGTTTCGCTTGAAATACAGTAAATCGTTTCAGTGCTTCAAAAGAGCTATTGGCATTTATAGACAAGCACAGTGGGATGAGCTCTTGACTTGGTAAATCCATTTTAAAGATTGTATGTGGGACAGCCAAGTTCCATGGCTAATTAAGTTCGTATTTTTGGACAGAGTCTGAAAATGTTAAAAATTGTAGAAACCAAGTATTGGCCTTATCACACAAAAAGGCCAAAGGTGTGCTGAGGGAGATTCCGAGTTCATTTATGTATAATTAAATTAATCAAAACTTTATCAAGCTGTCGAAAATGAAAATGTTTTCAAATTTAAATAAATATATTCAGATGTATTTTAGCTGAACAAAAATTGAAATTCTGGGAAAGGTCAGCAAAGAGATGTCGAATTTAGTAAAATATATTTATGAATTAGTATTGGGTTTTTATATAATCATTGAAACCTCATTAAAGTCAAGAATAATAAAGAGAATACATATTAGGCGAGAAAGTGGGAAAAGGAAGGGAGCTGCTTTGGCAATCGAACTGATAAGTGGCTTCATTATTTTATTCAAAGAAATTGAAATTTATATTTAACATTTAATTTTGTTCAATTTTTAGCTCAGTGTGTATGTGTTTTGTAGGTATTTTGTACATACAAAGAACAAAATCTTTTAATTTCGTTTCCTAACAAAATGAACTTTAATAAGTATTTTCTTTAAGTACATTCCGCAGTCGAAACAATTTTGCGCATAAACATACTACATACATATTAATGATTCCACGGAAATCGGCAAACAACTGAATAAAAATACTTGTCTTATCGCATCTTGGCCCCAGAGAAGAGATCAATCTGCCCTATATAATGTCGATGGAATTCTGTACAGACTTCAGTTGGATTATTAACAGCGAGAAGTATGGCTCGTCTGACGGCAATAGTTACGCTCCTGTGCCTGGCGCTTTCCTGTGTCCAGGCTAAGTGGTGCGACCGTTATCGGAGGTCAAAGTGTGTTAAGCATCACCTGTGTGACGTGGGTTTTAACGATTTTGGCGACGAAGTTGATCTCCGACTTATGCAGTCTGGCAACCAGGGATGCACCTCCACGGAAAAGTGCTGCCCAGTTGACAAAATAGTAAGTAGCTAAGACGGCAGAAGTGTCCAATATTGGAATTTTGGCTCATATTTTTCCTCAAATGTATTTTGATAGTAATAACATGCAATTGTAGGTGGACCCAAACACACAGAACTTGCCATGGATGAACCCCATTGAAGCAACCGAGCAAACAGAATGCGGCCGAGTTAACAAAAAGGGCATAAGCTTTACCCTAAAGTCGGCTGACGGCTTTGCCCAGGAGAACGAGCTCCCCTGGATGGTGGTCATTAGGGACAAGCTTAATAACTATTTGGGCGGCGGCTCCTTGATCGCCTTAAATGTGGTGCTCACCGCTCACCACACTACCAAAGATTATCGCAGCGATGAAATCATTGTGCGGGCAGGCGAATGGGACTTTAAGACCAGAACTGAGGTGTTCCCCTATGTGGAAGTAGGAGTCCGCAAGATCGTGCGTTATCCCTCGTTCGATAGACGAACTGGAACCAACAATATTGCCCTTTTGTTCCTCACAAAGCCATTTGTGCGATCTCGCCACATCGGCCCTATTTGCCTGCCGTCGAGCACCCAAAGGTTCGACGGAAGACGGTGTATCGTCAGCGGCTGGGGCAAGGATGCCGTTGAGCAAAACAGCTTTATGACCATTTTGAAGAAGGTGGATTTGCCAGTTGTGAGCTCCCGGACTTGCGAGAGGCAGTTGACGATCCATAAAGGCCCTACCTTCAAGCTCCATGACAGCTGGCTGTGTGCTGGCGGCGAGGAGGGCAAGGACGCATGCTTCGGTGACGGTGGCTCCCCGCTCGCATGTCAGCTCGAGGACGATCCCGATCGGTTTGAACAGGCTGGCATCGTAAACTGGGGCATTGGCTGCGGACAGGCGAACACACCGGCCGTGTATACCGATGTGGCAAAGTTTCGCAATTGGATTGACGAGCAGATAGCAGAAGAATTTGAAGAAGATGGCGATGAGGTTGACCCAACCACAACCGTAAAAAAACCCATAATAAGCAATCCCTTTGACATTAAACCAACGGATTTCTATGGAAGTAAGGTGGTGTTTGAAGGCGAAGATGGTGATGAGGGCGTCGAAACAACAACCACGCGTAGATCAACTACGCGTAGATCAACTACGCGTAGATCAACTACGCGTAGATCAACTACGCGTAGACCAACTACGCGTACAACTACAAGAAATCCCGATGAAATTGACTTCTCTGAAATCTTTAAAATTCCTGCGCAAGGAAAGGTTGACAATAAGCCTATTACCATGGTAGTAACAAGAAGTAAATAAGCCAATATATTTGCATTGTAATAAGCGTGTGCTTAATAAAATAAAAGATTATTTTCCTTTACTTCCAATATACAAAGTGATTTTTGAAAATTTTGAGAACTCCTAGTTATCCCCTAGTTTACATTTTGAAAATCAGACGGGAAACTTGCTTTCAAAATCTGGCCTTTATTTCCCTTAATAAAATTATATTTAAAATTGTTCTCCTTGAAGTGAAGATTGGCACTGCAATTGCTGTTGTCGGCAAATAAACAAAATAAAAAAAATATGCCAAAGTTCCGTGAATTGAGATAAGCCCTGAGATTATAAATATATGTACATACATATATATATACAGACAGAATTCTTTAATTGCCTTGAAATTAATACGCTTATTAGTACGCTAATGGCTAAGAATGGGAACAATCTCCCTAACCCAGCCTATTTTTTTGCCCTTTCGGTAATACACTGCGCATCATTAGCCTCTGGCGGAACCCAGCAAATTATCCAGACAGTGGGAGAACTCCATTGATTCGCGGGCCGCACTGGAGAGCCACACAGGGAGACGCAGAGCAAGAGAGACAGACCGCAAGGACCGCAGAAGGGGGCGGGACTGGGCCAGGACCTGAGCTCTTGGGCCCGTGACATCGGCGGGCACGCACTCGCAGCAGCTGCGGGCGCCATCAAAAACTTGTGCTTGTGGCGGGGCGCACTTTAATTTCAATTTGTCGCCGACCTGCGCCACCACCATCACCACCATTCCCTGTCCCTATTCCCTTTCCGCTAGCCACTGGGCCCCCGGCAATTTATTGTTTTCCACTTTACGCCAGTTTCCCACTGGAGACGGTGTCCTGTCCGCTTGTTATTGTTTTGTTGTGTTTTTAGTGCCGTCCTCAAATTTGAGAGTTTTCCACCGCCGCTTTCCCCGTGAGCTTTGAGCGATTGAGCCACTTGTCAATTGTTGATAGCTCGGGGGATCGGGCAGCTCTGGAGATGCTGCTCTCGTACATTTAGAAAAAAAAAAAACAAATCAAGATTGTGTTGAACTGGGCGTATACTTGATTTTTCCTGGAGACCTAAGCAGAAGCATTGTCATTGGATTTTAAAAAAATTTATTTTGTTTCTTTCTCATCATAAAATTTCTTCAAAGTTTAACCCGGTGTCAGTAAATTTTAAAACAAATTCAGCTTCATTTTTCCCAGTGTAATATGGGTAGATTATGGATGTGTAAGTTTGAAGCTGGGCGCGGGTAGTCACTTACCATGACAGCATTGCGCTTGAAATCCATAAAGTTCTTCACCTCGGCGGCCAATTCACGAAGCAGGATAATGCCGTCCTTGCGTTTCACTTCGATGTCGTTGTCCTTGAAGCGCTGCAAATGAAAAACCAAAGCCATCAGATACACAATTCTCAGTACATTTTACAGCTATAAACTATAAAACCGATGGGCGCCGGTTTCAGTACACAAAAAGGGTTAAAGGGTCGTAAAACTTTTCCGCTTTCTCATTGCCAAACATAAAACTCTGATGTACTCCTGAAATGATTCTCGGCTCGGCATAGATAGGAGCAGGAGCAGGAGCAGAAGGCAGTTCGCATGGCTACAGGCTACTCTCAAATTGATATTAAATGTATTTTAATGTATCTTATTAATTTTATAAGGTATTCATTGGCTGAGTCCGCGGTTTGTGGCTGGTATTAAAGTGTTTTAAGAGAACCAGAAATATAAGCAGGGACTTGTGAAAAACAGAGTGGCTTTGATTCACAAAAGTCGAAGTAATAAAGAAATTATTTATGAAATAAATCAAAATATTTCTTAGGAAAGACGTGGCAAATGGCTGTCAGCTGATTATTTTCATTGATTTATGTTCCAAAAACATTAATATTTTTTTGACACTTCCAAGAAAATCTATTAATTTATGAAGAATAAATGTATTTCCCCAGATAGGGAGAGCGTTATACCTCAAAATAATTCAATTATCAGAGCTATTTTTTAGCTGTTTATATTTTGTTTAAAGGCATAAAGAAACGATGGCGAGTCTATTTAAATTTTACATTTCATTGCATTTATCCTTAGGGACATACATACATTTATAGCACACACACACACACATTCTAGTTTGAGATTGGAGCAAAGACACACGCATTTAGTGGCCAAGTTAATGGCTTCGGGATGCCTGCTCTGATTTTCCACATACTACGAGCAGATGCCTTGCGCCATTATAATGATTTTTCCATTGAACGTGTTGTCATTTGGTTTAATGGGAAATTCTGATGAGTTTTCTTTTCTCTTTTCCCTGATGAATTCCCATAATCATAATCGAAAAAGTAGCACTGGCAACCGAACGGAAGAGCGGAAAAGCGGCAATAGAATGTCGCCCGGAAGCAAATGCATTTTATGACTTTTCCATGCATTTAAGTGCCGAAAATTAGCAATTTAGAAATGGAGTTATACGTGGGTAGGCGTGGCCATTTCCAATTGTCACTTTTCAAACAAACTGTCACTTAAATTATATATTTTTGCCCATTCGCGTCTCGTTGCATCCTGGCGAGAAAGGGCAATGGAGAGAGATAGTAAGGGAAAGCGAAGGAGGAGTGCCAGTGGGTGTGTGTGTGTGTGTGTGTGTGTGTGTGCATCCCTGTACATGTCTCCAGCGAATTAATTAGAAAACTTTTCTTAACTGATTCAGTGCCAGCAGCAGCAGCAGCAGCAGCAGCAGCAGCAGCAGTCGAGAAACTGCTTGGGCATAGAAGAATAAGCTCGGCAGCGAATACATACTTTCACTGACAAAAAAAAAGACATGATAAGAAAGTTAGTTTTTTCAAATTTAAAAAATTTAATTATTTATTCATTTACATGATGCATATTACGTATTAAATATTAATATTTATCTGTTCTATATGAACCAGACAGAAAAGTAGATGCAGTATTGTAATACCCCAATAATAATACCGAGTGCTTACTTTTCACATTTATTAAGTTGAAAACTTTCTTCTTTTTAACAACATTACTACTCTATATTTTTTACAGTGCACGTACGTGTCTGCAGACACACCCACACACACACACACGCTGCAAATATTTGTGGCTGGAGCCAAAACCTAACCATGTACCATTTGTGTGCTGGTGTGTGCGACCGCAGAACTAAAACTGCAAGGGGAAACTCTTTGAGGCATTCATTAGTTGGCTAAAGAAAATGTCACCCACACAGGCTAAAAAAAAAAGAAAGTATTACTGGCACAAGGGAGCTCCAAGCCGCCCGCTCTGCCCATCTCTGTCCTGCTTGTAATGCCATTGAGCATTATAAATTCTACACGAGGATTTCGAACGCCCAAGTTATGTCTGCTGCACATCGGCATTTGAGGGTTAATACGCCGCCATTAGACAGCTATTAGCCAAAGGGGAACTGGGAGATCGACATTGACTAGGAAAAGTTATCTAGCTTAATATAGAAGTCATTACTTTTACAAGCAAATTTTTCTGGAAAAAATTTTAAGTCAGTTTGAAAGTTTAAGCAAATTTATAAAACTTCTATTTGTAAGCCAAATTAATTTATTATTGATTTTATAAATAATTTAATAACTTAATTTTAATAAATTTATTACCTAAAATATCTTTGCTTTGGTACGAATTAATTCTTAGAGACTCTGGCATTAATATATAAAATACAGCTCAACTTTATATCTGTATTTAAGGCTACTATAAGACATATCTTTCTTATCTTATCTTTCGATTGAGAAATACTTGTAAAGAATGTCTTATTGAAACGAGCGTAGCAGTTGAAGCAATAAAACATTTAACGCTTTCACAACTTTTAAATTGAGCCAATTTCCAGGCACCTCATCCCCTCCCAGGCGCTCGTTCCGCCAAAGTTTGCCTTCTAAAAATGATTTATAGCATCTGGAAATCCATTAGCAAACTATTGCCAAATGAAAGCCAATAGTTAAACAAAAAAAAAAGAACAGAGAGGAAAAGAGAGTGTGGTGGAGCGTAATAAAAATCGAAAAGGCGCTGGACGTGGCATTGCAAATTAAAAGGATGTCAAGCAACAAGCCGCAGCGCCGCAAAAAAGGATCAATGGAGAAAAACGCAGTGTTCTATATGTATGTATATCTGAGGAGACGCGCAAGATGTTAGCCATGACTAGGTGGTATAGCAGCTGGGGCTGCTGCGGCCACGCCCACAAAAACCTCACCCAACTTTTATGCGATGGCAACATTTTATAAAGCAATTTCCACGAGAGCAGCATCGAAATGCAATGCACGCCTGAAGGACGCACGCGTGTGTGTATGAGAGAGTCCTGCCGAGGAGGAGTAGGAGGAGGAGGGCGGGGGGAGTTACGGGGGGCTTGGCGGTACAAAAACTATATACAATATGTATACAATATGGGTAGCACTCGAAGAGCGAGAGCAGCAGCAGTGGCAGGAGCAGTAGCAGCCATAGAAAGTTTTTCATTTTGCGGTTGACTCTGGTATTCGAAAATGCTGCGCAAGGCGGAGCCCTCGGGCGGCCCCCTCCCCCTGTCGGGTGCGTATGCAGCTGCAGTGCAAAACTTTAAATGGAGCAAGGACATCCGAGGAGTAGATGCGGGGCAGAGGCGGCGAGCGAATAAGGAGCATTCCTGAGCTTTGGCTTCTGCTCCTGTTGAATTCCAGCACAAGTTAAGCAGCTTACGCATGCAGGAGCAGATGCAACAGCAGCATCGGCTACCTGAAGCCGCACACTGAGCGAAAATCATTTAGATTTATAGCTACCACAAGTCACAACTCATGGCTTGAAGCTGTTGATTGAAATGTCTGAATCATTTGTTCCAGGAAAAGCTTAACCATTTATAAATATATTATATTTTATCAATAAAAGAAATTTAGGTCTGGTGCAACTTTTCTCAGTGTAGTCAGTGCAGACTGCTGGGTATATTGACTTTCGTCCTGGCTTTCTCCTGTCTAAGTGATTATGCGCTAAAGTGGCGGAGCAAGCTCAGAACTCGGAGCACCTCAGTGCCACGGTCTGGCTTCTAGGGTCTGGTCAAAAAATGCGCTAATTAGATTTTAATGAAGATGTCGCTGGCGCCCTTCAGCACCGGTTTCCGACTCTCCCTTCAGAATGGAGCAACAGTGTCCCGCATCAACGCCCATGTTTCCCTGTTCAGCAAGGCGGAGATTTGTTTTTCAAACAAACTTCTTGTAATTGCAGGATTTGGTTTTTTATTCTATGCTTAAGCTTTTTTTTTAATGAGATCTTTTATATATTTTTTGAGGCTGTAAATTCCCTTAATTGATAAGCTCTATAATTTTTTACGTGTGAGTGCTGCATTGAACTTATAATTACAGTGTTTTTAATATTAAAACGAAGCACTCACTGACTTTAGCGGATTAACAGTAAGACTACAAAACAAAGGAAAGGTTGCAGTGGATAAAGAAATAATTTATTTAAATTAATATATTAATAAAACTACTAGCATGTCATTTTTCAGACTTTACATAATTGAGCACATATTCTTTTGGGACGTAAGGTACTTCTACCTGCCAGTTTATACATATATACTAAAATCCCCGATGGATTTGCTGAAATTAATATTTAATTTACTTTATATTTTCAGTAAGGACAGGCAAGACTCCGCTCCGCTAAACATTTGTCTGTCGGCAGCTGTATGTCATGCTCGCATTTTCGTAACCAAACGACAACAACAGACTTAAATATTTGCATAGACAAGCTCTGACTGTACACACAGACATATGTACATCTGCATATACATATATAAGAATAGATATATATATATGGGTTTATGTATAGGGAGCAGATCAAGGACTGTGTGGCTCTGCAGCCCCAGTGCATTTTGGACCGCTCAAAAGCCAGAGGAGTTGTTCCACGAAGGAGTGGAGCTCGGACTCTGCGCCCCAGGACCCCTCAAGTGCGTCGCCGAGTCGTCGCCTTGATTTACGATTAGTCTCTTTGCAGTCCGCAACACTGTTCGCCACACACTTAGTTAGCCAAACACACAAAACCACCTCGATCTACTGTCCCACCAGCCTCCACTTTCCTCCCTGTCCACCCTGTCCAGTTCGCCCACAAGGCGTAAGCTCAGCGCTTTGCCCTCAACAAGGCCTTTGTATTTGTCACCAAATCCGACAAATGGAGAGCGGGAGTTTCCCGGCGGTCGGGGGGACAATGGAGTGGGTGGGCAACCACTTGCCTAAACAAATGACCAGCAATCTGCATTTTGGGTTGCAGACCCCGGCTCACAAAAATTATAATTGCATAGACATACCCAAATGGCAAGCAGATTGAAAGAGCATGGGATTAAGAGAAATATTTTTGAGGTCTCATATCCTTTTTGCTTAAAACTAATAGAAAATTCGAATATTCTGAATTATTAGGGGATCTAAAAAATGCATAAAGGAATGCAATAAATAATTGTAACTAAAGATATTTTATAAGAAGATGAAAGGTTTTGAATTCATACTAAAGTATAGGTGGTTAATGGAAGTAAAAGGTGTCCAAGTTTAAATACATTAGAATTTAATTCAAGTTAAGTTTACAAATGGTTAATAAAGAATATAACCATTAATTGATTTTCAAACGAGTAAAATGATTTAATCTTGACAAAGCCATCTTTCCTCCCTGTATACTGTTTATACTTTCACCGGCATTTTCGAAATTATAAAGTCCTTTGCCCGTTCGAGATTCTCCTTTTGCAATGGCAATCTGCATGAACTCGGCTTGCATTGTGTTTACTTTTACCTTCAATCAGCTGCGACTAGAGTGCCAAGTACAGGCGGGTAAAGAAGCTCTCGGAACCGGGAACAATAATTTGCATGCCACTTACAGGCGGAACCGACACTGGTGAAAAATAAAATAGGGAACTGTAAGTGGAAGTTGGAAAACAGAGAGGGAAAGCGAAGGCTAAACGCTGAAGAAAAACGACGGCACGCACCAGTTTTCTTTTCTTACACTTTTTTTTAAGCTAAAAAGTTTTGTATTACGTGCAAAACGAGAGCACGCTTAAATTTATTGGCCTGCAAGGCACAGAGAGAGAACGAGAAAGCCAATTTTCACTAAAATTTGACCCATATTTTAAAGCAAAGAAAGAGAGAGAGAGAGAGAGATGGCTGACAATGATCACACAAGCTTCACTTCATTATCACAAACACCGTTAGTCACACATCATCATTTGCCGTTATGGCGGCACATACGCAGAGCAAGATGGCGGCAGAAGAGCAAGAGGGAGAAGGAACAAGTGAGAGAGAGAGAGAGCGTGCTCCTGTCATTTGCTCTGCGTAAATATGCAACACTTTGTGTACTGTCACGTTGTCGATGATGTCTGTCCGTCTCTGTCAGTCTTTATGTCAGGACATTAAGTTTGACAGGCAGACATGGTAGCCCTTTTCTTGTTTTTAGGTTATGTTTTGCGCTTGTCACTTTCAATGACGATCGAAAAGATATGATTTAGAATCTGAACAATAAAGAAATATGGTTTAATCAGAATCTGTATATTTACGTTTGGCTGGAATCCTAAAACATCAAAATTAAATTAAATTAAATAAATTAACGATTACTTAGTATTTTTAAATATGCTCTCTCTTTTGCAATCTTTATGGGTTTCTTTTTAAATTTAATAATTAACTTTTAAAATGTATTTTTTCTATTATGACTTTTCTAGAAAAATTTGTGCTGATTTTCTGCTGAAATCCCCACAAATAAGTATTTTAACCTTAGATTACCTTTAACCTAAGTGTATTTCTTAAAAAAGAAAACATCTCAAGCTACCGTCAACAATTTTTAAGTCTGGTAAATATATTTTTTTTATATATTGGATTTTTTACAACCTTATCTGTCAAATACCTAGAATTAAAAACAACTATTTATATACAGTCACTCTCTATATGTTAGACTTGCTATTAACGCAAAAAAAGAGTATGCCACATTCGACCAAACAGAAAAGAGACTGCAACCTGCTGAAGGTTGTTCTCCGTCTGAAGAACATATTTCATGGCTTAGGTAGATACTTTTTCAGCTAGTCAGCGCTAAACGCCAAGCTAGAGGCATAGGGAAAATAAAATAAATGAATATGCGCCACGCACAGGCATCCACACACACACACACTGTGCCGCCTCCTGGCAGCCATTTTGTCTTGGCCTGTTGTTCCTTTTTGTTGTGCCTTGCGCGACGCCTTTCGCATAACTGAACGTGTGCGCTGCATTTGTTTTACATTTTATTATGCTACTTTAAAATGCCAAATGGAAAAAGCAGCTATGGAAAATACAGAAAAAAACACGCAGCAACAGCAGAACAAAAACAACGAGAAAAAGCGGATAAATGAGAAGGAGCAGAGAATGGAGGGTGGATGGACCACACCCACAGCATTGCCGCTTTCCTTTTTAATTTTCCTTTTTTTTCCCCTTTTTTATTATATTGCAAAGCATTTTTTTGAAGGACAACAGTCAAGTCAATAGAACAACAAAACTGTGTCAGCAAGGGATCTAAAAGGAGATGACGTCTGGACGGAAGTGAAATTATTTAATTAATATTGTCAGAGGGACATGTCAATATTTTATATATAACATATAAAAACTATAATTACTTTGGTCAATGTGTCTAATAGGAATCCTCAAAAGGATCCTCTGGAATGTCAATTCTCATAGCGGTATCTTTCCGAGCGTCTACATAAATGTAACCAACTTTACCAACTGGATTAAGCAGAATCCTTTCACTTACTATGTTGAGCTTTTTAGAAATGTTTAGTTTAACACATTTTCGTATAAATAAATTGAAGCATTCACCCCCGAGAAATTAATTACTTTCAGATTTTAAAACGCTGTGTAAACCAAAACCTTTTTCGAAGCCCAAGTGAGCTCTTTATTTTATTGTGGCTTGTCAATTATTTTATATTGCCTTCAATTTATTAGCCCTTGCCGGTGGCCGAGGCATCGAAGGTTGATACCGATGCCAAAGGCGTTAACAAGGGCGGCACAGACTCCAACCGCTGACAACACGCAGGCATACAAACAAACAAGCGGACAGAAGGACAGATTAACTTGCACACGCACAAAATGGTATGATATAATGTTTATTAAGCACACACACACACACTCGGACACACGCACGCACAGACCATTCTCCCCACGCACAACGTCGCGTATACTTGATATTTAATTCAATCTGGGCGTAGGTTTCCGTTTTTTGCCATCGTACTGCGGAGTGCGCTTTAAATTAACACAAACAAACGTTGTCAGCGGCAGCAGTAGCACCGACACCACCACCCACTCTCAGCCACAGCAACAACAACAACAACAACAGGACCTATGATAACATACACCCGCACACGAAAAACAACAACGGGCCAGAGGAGAGCAACAGCAACAAGGCACTTGACAATTACAGACTCAATGACAGTCACAGCCAGCAAATTTATTTGCATTTTAGCCGCCTTTCAGGCTCCAACTCCCTAGTAATTCCCCGAATTCAGCTTGAATGTGGTTGGTTTTCTGTATAATTTTACTGATATTTATACCCTAGTGTGGGGCTGTCGAAAATTTGCCCAAATCGCCCAGTGTTTTATGAGTTCCACTGGGATGGCTGTACTTTAAACTTGATTTGGAACCTTGGAGTTTTAGTACTTTAGTCATTACTATATTTTAAATAGAAGTGAAGACCAGGTTTCCAGACTAGAATTTAGTTTGAATTTACTTTTACATTTTACATTTTTTTTTTATTTCAATAAAATATATTTAAAATTTTGAAATGGATTTCAGAGGAAAGAATATATAAAAACTCGTATAAAATAAATAAAATAAGTTTTAGATAAATGTACAAGCTAGAAACTATTTATAAGTTACGAATGCCAGTCCTGGTTGTCCTTCTATGTTGCATAACCCAAAGGAAAGAGCAATGTGTTTTGCTTGGATTTCGTCTGATTATGACCCGGTAAGACTTACCTCCGACTAATCGGCTTGCAGGGTATATAAAAAGCAAGCCCGCTATAAGGGAAAGTTGCCGCAAGAGTTGTGTATGTAAATCCGCATAAAAGCGATTTTCTCGCACATAATCACAGGCAGCACACTCGCACAATAAAGGCAACCCACTGCACGTCTGATTAAACGCGAAAGTACGCGACTGACAGGGAATGGGGTGCCATCCGTGGAGCCCACCATCATCCAACATCCAACAGACGCTATCCGCCATTCGCCATCCGCCATCTTCCGCCGCAGACCACGCAGTCAAGCAAAGCCAAACAGAGGCGGGCTTATTAACATAGATAGCACCCAGTCACACACACACACATATTATACGTATGTGTGTGTATGTGCCCGACTCCAATTTTGGCCCGCAGTGCCCCCCAATTAGCCTTATTTGTGTTTAAATTGCATTAGGGCAGCAACAAACAACTAACGACAAAGGAGCCAAATAAGAGCGCCAAAAGGAAAACACGAAAAATTGACGCATTTGTTGGTTAAGCTTCCACTAAGCCTTGCCATTCAAAGCGTTTATCGATAAATTCTGCCTTATCGATAAGTTCAACTAAGTGCCCGCAGAGCTTAAATGTATTTGTTCTGACTAAACCAAACCAAAGACCGACCAGACATGCCCACGGCCCAATCGGAGCCATTAGCCAGGCCGATGTATTGGGATTATCTGATACATATGTCTGCATTATCGGGCCAACCAATGTGCGTGCTTAGTCCTAGCCATATGACATTCGTAATTACTTACACTTTTGATCTCATTCATTTTGGTAAATTGACGTCCAAACTCCCACAAGTCCACGCCGAACTTCAGGGCCCAGTTGCGAACTCTGCAAAAGAGAAACAATATAAATGAGTTACCTTCATACATATTTAATGTCTGAAATAAAATATCTGAAAGTAGCTTACAAGCTCTTAAAAAAAAGAACGACTTTATTTTACGTATTTTGAACCATTGCCCCCAACAATTTGCAAACTCATCGATACGTGGCTTATTAAAAATCAATTAAAATGGATTTAAAATTGCGCATAAATTATTTCCTGCTCATTACGCATACGCATACAAATCTTTCATTAAGCAATCAGGGTTGTTGTCATTAAACGAAATGCTCCTAAGGCAAATATTTCTTCAATATTTGCCAACAAGTTCCTCTGCGTTATCCGGGCAAAAAGATGAAAACCAACAAAAAGATTTCAGCCAACTCACTTGAGAAACACTGAAGACAGCGACAAAACTCATTACGGATAGACCGTTGGCAAGGGAGGGCAACTGCCAGGATAACGGCAGGACCAACAGCCAACTATTGTGAAAACATTTGCCAAACATTTATAATCTAAACGCGAAAGTCAAAAGCAAAACAAAAGCAACACAACGAGCGCTCATAAAACGAGAGGGAGTCAGGGTGTGGGACTGCGACTCTGTGTAAAGCAACAGCAAATTGAAAATAAAGCACAAGCACGCAAAATCCAGGACTCTAGCCACAAAAAAAAAAAAATTAAATATTAAGAAAAAGTCAGAACGAAACAAAGTCAACTTGAGCCAGAGCAAAGACCATGCAAAATAATGCCACCGAAAATATTTGCACAATTTTATGGCATTATCTGCAATATCAATACGACGGGGCAGAGGAGGGCACAGGAGACACTACTGGGGTTTTAAGCGAAGCAAAAACTCGTGCTCGGGCGCCAGTAACCGCAGCAACGTTGCGTATACGCAATGTTCATTATATTGAGCCGGCGGCGTACGAACGAGCGAAGGAACGAAGCAATCGGAGGAACCGAAGGACCCAGCTTCCCCATCTAGATACAAAATAAGCGCATGTTTATATGGCCAGCAGAGGGGGCAGAAAGCACCGATACGATGCGAGCGAGAGAGAGGAGAGGCCAGCAGATTGCGAGGGACGGAAGTGCAACTGCAGTCAAGCGGCGGCAGACAAAGTTTTATGGCTCGGGCGATGCCAAAAATGAATTTAAATTATATGAAAATTGTATTATAAACGGAAGCCCGAGGAGCAGAACGCAGGACCACATCCTTCTCGCCCCCCTCGCATCCCCTTGGCCCGCAGCAATGAAAGCGTAAACAATGAAGCGAAATAAAGTGGCCAACAAAGTGATTGAAATTGGATAATGCTGATGGTGGGCAACAACAAAGAGCCGGCTCAGAGATGCTGGGGTCAACTGATGATAATTAAATGAGACTTGCACCAAGCACTATACATGCATACATGTATGCTGGAAATAAAAGAATCGAATTGACAGAGGTTGCTGAATGAGTGGCATTCGAGTTAAATGATATGAGTTAACTTGAATGAAATCACAACTGGTGTTGGTCGACAAGAATGGTTCTTAAAACAGAGTAGGTAGTGTAATATAATCTCAATCAATAGTTTGATAAAGCTATAAAAGATTATTGCTTTCTTAAAGAACAAGAAAACTGAAATATATATACAAAGAAGCCACCTTCTGGCTCGATTAAAAAAGTGGTCGTGGATAGAGAGTACTCAGAAAATAATACTGGTCTTGTGTTGACGAAATATTTGCTTAACTTTTCGGGCAATTTCTTTAGCAAACATATCAGAAAGCATGCACAACGAAATTCGCCCTGGGACTAAGTCTAACATTCCTGTGCCAGTTAAATGCTATCAAGAACCTTGCCGAATCTTCGCCAGACCCACCTCATGCGGAAAATCTATGTGGGGGCAGCACCATTCATATGCGCACGTTTGAAGGAGGAGCAGGGACAAAAAACATTGAGAATCGGGTCCAAAGCAGCAAACAGCAATGAAAGGCCATCAACGTCATCCTCTTGGCCTGAAGTAGAAGACATTTTTTTGCAGATTCTTTTGACTCCTCCTCCTGCCGCTGGCCACACCAACAAAATAGTCACATTTTGCTTTACCTAGATTTTTTTTGCTGCACGGCCAGAAACTTGACAATGGCTATAACTATGTCCATGTGAAAATGAGGCGAAGAGCGCTCCAGGTGTATTTGTAGTGACTTTCTATTCTGTCTCAGCTTTTTGAGCACGAACCAACCACGTACGTCATGCTCAAGTACCATATACCTGTGCAGCTACACCTGAAGCTATCGAACTAGTTTCGTTCCATTGCATTTTTCACTTTTACCCCCGCCGGCTTCTGCCTTGTTTGTCTGTGCAGTTTTTCACTTTTCTTGCCGGCCAAGTAAGTTTATGCCAAGGCAGGTGAAAATGGGATGGATGTGCACTCAAAGAAATGTATTAAGAAACTAATTTATTTAGTAAAGCTAAAAATGATAGCCTCTTTAAACAAAATACCCAACAGTTTCGATCTAAAAGACTGTTTAGACATACCTAATTCATAATTTCTTTGTAGTCGTCACCATTCCTTATGACTTTAACCAATGTTCCCCAGATTTTCCTTGAGTGTGGTTGCCGCTGGAGGAGTAGGTCAATGGGTTTTTGCCATTTTGCATCATTGAAATTGAAATGAGTCCCCTTGTGCCGCTGCCAGCAGACTTGAATGCGCAATCACAAGAGCGCACTTCAATGCGCCCTCAACGTGTGCCGGTGTACTAGTATTAGTCTGTATGTCCCAGAGAGTGACTGTCTTCAACTGAACTTAAATTCGATTCCATCAAATAGCTAACTATATCAAAGCATTCGAGCTCACCCATATGGAATGCTCATCACTAGCCCCAAGAGGGATATGCTTGGGTTTAAATTAAAGCTACGCTGTTTATTTACAAACTAGATTGGTTTTTTTATGATAAAAAACCTTGTTTTATTTAACATTTACATTCAGTAAAGGTTTTTATTAAAATCAATGATAAATGTTAGCAAAAGACATCGCAAATATTGATCGGTTGTAGCCAAATTTGGCCTAGCTAAAACGATACAAGTATGGATAGGTCAAGGACTTGGAAACATCCATGTGAGATGCGCGGGCATATACTTCATCTGGTTCCTGGGGCTTTGCTACTACATTTTGGGAAGCTACAGTTTGGCGTTTCTTTTCGCGTTCCAGTTCGTTCATTATGGCCAATAACTCGGCAGGAAGGCTGTACAGATCACCTTTCCGTTGGAAGTATCCCAAGGGTTGGTAGTTCTCCAGCACCATTTTAATATCCTCCTCAAGTCCGCAATCAGTTTTACACAATAACTTGGTCAAGTGATCGGCGATCTCCTCAACGGTTACTGGCTTTCCCATGGCCCTCATAGCCTTGCTAACGATCGCTATATCCGTGTAGATGATTCTTTGCCGATTCATTTTACTACAAATTTTCGTTGGCTTGTCTGAATTTTCTTATTTGTAAATGAAGTTTAGATATAAGTTTATTGAAGTGACGTTTGACTTAAATAAAAATGTGACTAGCAGCCTTTCCTTTCTCGATATAGTCGTTCTTAATCTCGGAACCTCACATGCTACCCAAGCCAAAGTTTTGCAAATGAATTTATCGTGTTCTGCGCTAATTCAGAATCCACCTAAATGCTCGCACAACTAAGGGTGAATTACACACCATACACCCTCAGTTGTGCTACAGTTGTAGTTGGTAGCTGAAAAATAAAAACCAAAATAATGCGCTAGACGGGGCACGGCAGCCGCTTCTGTTTGTGTCTCCGGCTTAACTGCTGCTTAATGCACTTTCACTGTCATTTGTCATAAGTAGTTAGCGCTCTGTTTGCTCCCCTCTCTGTTGATTTTGCTTTATTTATTCTTTTAAGCTGCCTCGACGGTAATTAGATCTGCCACGCCCCAACGAGAGGCATCCACAGCGCAGTGTTTCAAATGCAGAATGGTTTTAAGCAGCAATTGTGCCAGTTGCAGATCCGGCTGGAAAAAACAACACGATTAAACGAAGGTCTGCTGAAACGAAATCTGGCTGAAATCATGATGAAGCTATAAAGCTTCATTAATGCCACTTCCGTTTCGTTTATCTATAGATTCTTCATTTGATTCTTCTTTTCATTAAACAAAGAAATCCCTTAAATGAGAAGAGCCTTTAAAATTAAAAAGAAGAACACGTAAGGAAAGTTTTCCAATTCGATTAATTTGCAGCCGAGTTGAGTTGGCTCTTGAATCGATCGCTCATCCGCAGGCCGCCCAGAATTCGAATCATGTAACATCCTCGTTGACACAGCCTGTCCCCTTTGTCCTCCCTGAAAAGTTTCTGGCCATGGCACGTGACCCAGAGAAGCATTTTGTTGTCAAGAGCAGCGGGAGCAGGGCAGCTGTCAATGCAACTGCCCCCCAGTTGGAGGAGAGGCCAGAGGAGGAGGAGAAGCTGGCGGATGCTTAAGCAAACGAGGCATGCATTAAAATGGCAACTGCAACTGAAAATGAGGCAAATGAATGGGCCCAGTTCGACCCAAGAAAGTGCCGCCATGGCGAGAGAAAACAACGCTCTCGACTCTCGAGAGCCCGATTTGGGTCAGTCACATCAAAAGCAATGGGCCCGGCGCCGAAAAGGACTAACCACTGCCTTGACCAGGAGCAGGACCAACTTCTTCTTCAACATCATCGCCCAATGCCGAAGCATAATCGTCAAAGCTGGACCGTCAAGGCAACTGGAGGCCCAAGTTGTTTTTCTTTTCTTTTTTTTTTTCGCCTGCCAGCAAAAGTTGAAATAAATTTAATTGAATTTCTGCAGTGACATAAAGCAAATGGCAACATGGAGAGGCAAAGGAAAAGCCGAGCCGAATGAAACCAAAGCAACAGCGAAAGCAAAAGTTTGCTTTTCAGATTAATGAAATTTATTTTACGCATGTGCCACAGCATGTCAGCGGCCCAAGACGGACGAGAATATGACGAATTTTAAAGAGTTGAAAAATGTTGACAAAGTCCTTGTTTAAGGGGAAATAATAATTGCCAAAATAAACAAATATTTATAAATAATATTAAACAAATATTAAGAGTTCCGCTCAATAAGCCATAATTATATTAACGCAAACGGCAGAAGCCTCAGCAAACTAATTGAATTTTAGCCATAAAAACCGCTCGTCGAAACTAATTTCAATAAATAAAAGTTACATTAGATATAAAAAGCGGGACCGAAAAGAAAATCACTTAGTGTGTCTGTTCCGTTTTCTGGTCTCTGTGCCAACCGCCAACCCCCTTCCGTTTCCATCAGCAGGCAGTTGTCCTTGCCTGCAAATGGCCGTTGGTTTTTGGGTTAATTAGCCAAGTGAACGTTGCGGTTACGTGTGTTGCCTTTCCCCTACTCCTCGACATCACCTCAGCGCCCCACCCACCGACACCCCCGCCGCACGTTCGCAGTCACCGTGCGAAGCTAATTGCAAAATCCTATTATGTATCCATTAGATACGCATATATACCATATCGTCAACGTCTGAGTACAACATATACAAATACCTACATGTATGAGAGCCAAAAAATATCTCGTCCTCTGAGTAATATAATTCGAATTTTCCTACATCAAGTTCATAGTCGTCTTGTGGCGGCTACCCGGCGTATACTTAATGTGGGGGCAAGAACCTCCTTCTTTGATGGCCTGCCACTCATTATTTTTCATTTATGCACATTTTTAATGAAACTGCCCATATCGAGGACATTTTCCCTCAATATGCTTCTGGCACTAAGCCGATAACTATAACTATGAATGTCAGCGGGCACAGGGAGTGGGAACATTTATTTCAATCTCTATGTGGTAAACAGTGTAATAATCATAAATAAATTGGTCCATAAAGGCAAACGAATGGCTAAAGTTTCGCACAAGAGATTTTGGTATACATAAAGTCCTGATGATGCATGAACAAATTTATAATCAAAATAATTGCAGTACTTAAGCTAAATGAGGCGATTTAAAGTCAATTTTAAGACTATATAAAATTCAAGAATGATTTTGGACTACATTTATTTGGTAAAATTGAAAGCAAAAATGGTTTAACTGAAAGAGTGACAAATATTTCTTTATTTTCTTCCAGATAAATATATATTTAATATTTTTTAAATATATTTCTTACTTTATTTTAATATTTTTTAAGTTGAATCCTGAATTTTAATTGTCATCGAAGAAGCTAAACATTTCTAAAACTGGAAAGATATTCAGAAATTCAGGTGCTAGCTATATTAATAATTAATAATTAATTTTTAAAACCTTTTTGAGTGTATGAATAGTAATAATAAACCTCTGATAAAGGTTATATACTTTAATAAATTATACTCATAGTACTTCAAGCCACTGTACCTGACCTTTGGCTCAAAACTTCCCATTAACGCGTGTCTAAGCTGCTTTAGCCATACTTGGGCCATATGTATCAATATGCTCAGTAGAACAACAATGACTAGCTTGGCGAGTACAGCCCCACCGCTGCTGCAATCCACAGTGTTGCCTTCATCCACTATTTTGCCGGCATCCTCTGTTTTGCCAGACATTATGTGTGCTCTAGGATTCATCTGGATTGTTGAGACAGCTGCCTGCATGCCCGATAATAACATTCTGCGGCCTCGGAGGAGTGCTCCTGGATGCCCGGTGAGATCGCGTCCGGTAACAAGAAAACTTTAATTTTTCGATCTTGTTTTTCAGAATGGCTACTTCATGGACCAAAAATTCAAAATGTGCCTTCGTGAAAAGTACCAAGCCAAACAGATTGCGGGACAAATAGGACAATGGTTGCCGATCTATAAAACAACAAAAAAGCCGATCCTTGTTGTAACATCTCCAAGTGTTAAAAACCCCTTGGATGGTTATACTGGCAACTGGTACTCCTATGGTTCTAACTGGGCCACGACAGATAGATATAATTTTTAAGACCCATCAAATTTATTGGCCAAAGTTTTCATTATGCATACAAATACAACTGAAGAGCATTCGTTTTTTTTTTATTTGTTTAATTACTGTGAGGTGGCTGCTGTTCCTGAAAGCTTTACTTTTCTTCCGAACAACTTGATTTCAATTGTAAAATTTAAAAAAATAGAAAAATACTTGCTGTAATTAATTTGTTTGTTTAGCTTGGCTCCCCAGACATTTTCTAAATCAATTATTCAATAGAAACTAAAACCGAATAATTTCTTTCAATCTCTACTACGCACATTTCAATGGCCTTCAGTTGAAACGTTAAACAATTTGTATAAATGTTTCAGCAGCTTGTCTGTTGAGCTGTTGACGAACAGCTAGGTAAATTATAGATAGAAAACTGAGCCAGAGAGGGAAGGAAGAGGGAGGATGATTTGTTGTTGGCAGGGAATAAACAAATTTACAATTAATTTCCTGTCTGAGGAAATTGCCAAAATGTTTGGCAAATGCATAATTGAATATATTGGTGTTGCCTGTCGGATGATGAATAAAACTTACTCGTTGTGCGGTATATCCTCATCCTGATCGCCGAGTGCGACAAATATGTGCATTTTGAATATTAGCACGCCCAGCACTATGGCCACAAAGCAGCTCCACTGTTTGCTCTCCATTTTCAACTGTATTTGGACCGGTAGTGTGCGTATGTATCTATGTGGATCAATTGGTGCTGAATACTTCCAGATTTAATCTCCTGTTTGGGTACGCCGCCCGTCTATCGATTGGTTTTTGGTTTTCAAAATGTATAATTGTTTAGTGTGTTCGCGTGCCCGGCACATATGCAGATAAAGCCGCAGAGCAGTTCACAAATTAAACCGAATTCGCGCTTAAATTGTTTTCCTTTTTAATTTATTGACACTTTTGATGCTTTTATCGATTCGAAAAACTAAAATTCGTTAATTTAAGTTCTTATTTTAGTGTGTGGCTATTGGTTTTGCCAAGCTTAATTGCAATTTCAATTTTCGATTTTCATATACTTGCTATAAGCGCTTTTAAGCCGGACATTTGGTGCTGCCAAAAGTTTTTATTGCTTTTTCCGTGTACATTCAACATTGTTGCGAAGCTATTTGGTCAGTTATTTTTTTGGTGACAAATGGTAATTGAGCTGGTAGTTTGATATGTGGCTTAGGTTTGTGTGTTTGAGCTGTAAAAAAAAGAGATAGGAGACAGTTTAGTGAAAGTTTTTAGAGTTTAATGGCGAATTTATTTAGCTTAATAATATATTTAAATATTTAACAATAATATGGCATTTGTATCTAAACTTGTATGAAATATTCTCTTATTTTGACTGTGGTTGTAATATATTTTTCCCGCTTGCACTAAACAAAGCATACTGATTTTCAATTAGTTTACAAATAGTTTTATTTTTGAATCTCAAACAGACCAAAAATATGCATTAAAATACAAATGGATGGAACTTTGGAAGCGGGCTGTTTCCCTGGCTCCCTGTGAATTTGACCTAGAAATGCGTTTTCGCCCGCATAGCCCCCACCCTTCATTCACATAACTCACTTCGTAACTTCAGGATGTTTTCGAAATCGAATCCAATTTCGCTCTGCTTGGTTTGCTGCACATGCGCGGTGTGGGAAGCCGCCTTCACTCATTCACTCGGACTCCTTTCGCCAGAAAACGGTGTGTCCCCAGTGTGCGAGTGTGCGAGGCTTTTTGTATTGGCATGCCACCCCCTAAAAAGGCGCACATAGCCATACATCCAACCCTGAATGCGAATGTGTTGGGGCTTCTGTGTGTGTGCTGTGCTGCGTCCCCAAGGATATCGCGTAATAATTTTCATTAAACATGCTGCAAGCCCTGCCTCCCCGCTCTCGCAACAGCCACGTCCACATCCGCATGAAATAAAGACAATTTATTGCGGCCAATACGCACTCACAGACACTCGCATGTGCATGCCTCCGCCACATATCTAAATAAATGTGTATATAACCGGATTTCGCACGCTTTTCCGACTCCCTTCGCGTCGCCCTTCCGCCTCAACGTCAAAAAGTTTGACAGAAGTGGAACGCCATCCGCCATACACGTTTGGGATGCGACATCACACAGAAGGCAAGGCGAGTCAACGACTCCACAGCAGCGAACTCTGAACAGAACAGTATGCAGCTCAGACTAAGGCTCACCAGAGATGCTTTGCCAGTCACATGGTTTTGATTCTCAGGGAAAGGTATTTAAATAATCTATGTGCTCACAATAATCTAGTAAATAGGTAATACCCAGATTTTCCTTAAATAAATTTTCAAATGAGACTAAAAACCATTACTATATTTATACCCTTGCAGGGTATTATAATTTCAGTCAGAAGTTTGCAACGCAGTGAAGGACCCTATAAAGTATATATATTCTTGATCAGCATCAAGAGGGGAATCTTTCTAGATATTTCAGGAAGAAATCGATTTTTTGGCCATTTTTGCAAAATTTTATAAGGGGTTACATCATTAAAATTTTTGATTTTGATAAAAAATTGAATTTTTAAAATTTTTAAATGAAGTATGCAGATTTATTAACTGTAGAAAATCTTGCACAGAACTGTTTTCCGATTTAAAATTAATGCTTTTTTGGCCGATTTATGATATTTTTAATTAAAAAAAAATCAAGAAGTTTTTTAATATAAAAAATCAGATTTTATAATACAAAATAATATTTTTCTAAGTCAAGGAATCATTTCCGACCCCATAAACCATATATATTCTTGATCAGCATCAACAGGGGAATCTTTCTAGATATGTCCGGAAGAAATCGATTTTTTGGCCATTTTTGCGAAATTTGATAAGGGGTAACATCATTAAAATTCTCAAAAATAGGCAAAAATTTTGATTTCTTAAAATTTTTAATTTGCTATGCAGTTTTTTTAAATTAATAAAAACTAACACAAAACTGCTTTCCGAATCGAAATTAATGCATTTTTGGCTTAGTTATAATATATTTTAATTGTTACCTGCAAGGGTATACAAACTTTGTTTGGCTGGCCAAAGTTAGCTTTCTTTCTTGTTACTAAATAATATTATTAGGAAAAGTTACAAAAAAGCATATTAAAGCAGCAAGACAACTGAAAAAGAAAGGGGTCGTGTTCAAGCCTATGACAGAATTATTATATTATAATCACTAAAAAATCAATCCTTCCCAAATATATGTAAACTGTTAAAATTCTCCTTAAATAAACATATGGTTAAAAAGGCATCTAAGCTTTTAATTCTTGTTTATAAACTACCCTAACTCTTTAGTGGAAATAACAATTCATAATTAAAAAACGTATTATTTATTATCCAATTTATTTGTATTAAATTCTGGTTGAATGAATGGCAAAGCTTGGTAATTTGCAGTTCATTTGACAGATATCCATTAACCTAACAGCACATACTCTATCTGAACAGATCGCTTATTCCCGATCAACCCATCAATGTACACATTTTGCGCAAGGGTATTGGGTGGATAAGAATGAAACAAAATAATAGTGATAATAAAAATAAAAGCATGTGCAACATGGCGTATACGCAACGTTGGCAAACGTCAGGCAACATCAAGCGAGCTGAGGCGAAGCCATTGTTGAAAAGTGAAAGTTTATAGTTGGCGCACGTTCATAAAGTTTTGCGTGTTATACAAAAGATTTATTATATCGCATATATCGCTAGCTCCTGCCGTTCTTTTTTCCATTTCCACATCCTGCGCATACGCCACACCGCCCGCCCCAATTTTTCCTCTTTCTTCTTTTCTTTTTTTTTTGCCGCTCTGTTTTGTTTGCTTTTTGCCTTTTTATGTTTGGCCTGACTTTTCGTTTTTGTTTGGACCCAAAGCACCAACGGCAGCCCCGAAGGCAGCTTAAAAGCAATATGGCCTTGGGAGTTTTCGTAATGGAATTAATGTGCCTGTGAAAATTTCAATAGGCCGCGTACAAAACTTTTTACAACCAAAGACGGATATGTCTGTGTGTCTGGCCGCACAACGGTTTGATAAGTTATAAATCTGTTCTCTGTGTTTGCTTATACGCAACCAGGCCACATGTCATATTTCAAGTTTCATATCCACAGACTGTTTGTTTAAAATCTAACGAGATTTGGATATTTTATGGGAAACTACTAAATCTTAATTTATACCTATACGAAAGCTAAGATTAGCCAATTGAAACAAATAAAAAATGTAATTGTAAAATCTTAGTTAACCTAAACAGTTTTTATTTATAATGTGTTTATATTCTGATTATATTATATTACTGTCAATAAATAAAGGTAATACACAACATACTTATGTAAATGTCTAAGGTTGCATCGTATACGTAATTTTTATAATTAACCCTTTTTTATTGTTGAATTAATAGAAGAGAAAAATCTTGTATTCGTTAGTTTTAAGTAAAATATAAAAAGATATATTAACCGATTGTATGTAGCGCACTAATTTATAGGTTTTCATAAATCATAAAATCTAAATCTATAGTTATAATGAATTATTAAACTATTGCCATATCTCAAAGGCATACAAATTTGTAATTTCCATTAATTATATATCTTCTCAAATAAATCGGTTCATAATAGCTTTATTACATTAATAATGCAACATCCTAAATTTACAGAAATTTTAGAGTTTAAAGACAGAAAGGAAGCTCTTAAAGATGCTCGCTTCTTTATTATATAATAAAGGGGTTTTTAAAAGGGATTATAGACCAATTCCTCCTTATAACTAACCAAGCAAACAGAAATATTTGAATTAATAGTAGGAACACCCAATTTAAAAGTCTGCAGCTGCCAGACCCCAGAGAGAGGCAGGAGCTGAGTGATCGGGGGGAGGAGAAGCTGGCAAGGGTCAGGGGTTACGAGGTATTGGTCAAGCCTTGAGATTTTACGCAGCTGCGTAAGCTGCGTGGGGCTGTAGTACACGTTAAGCCGTTATTATGTGCCATGTGCTGGTGTGAGTGCGTGTGTTGCTGCGAGTGTGTTTGTGTGATGGGGGGAGCGTGCGTAGTAGTAAATAGTAAAGCGGCATAGCATACTTTTTTGGGCGCGCAATCACAGGCTCACACGTACACTAAAAACACTCACACAGACGCCCGCCACGCCGACTGTATGCTCGAATTTTGATTTATGCTGCTCGCAATTGAAACTTTGGCTAATTTATGTGAATTTGGTGATTTCGTGTTGCCCTTTGTTAGGTATTCGGTCCTTTGTTTTGCCCATTTTATTGTGCAATCGAAGCGAGAGCATTTTCCCCACTCTCTCACACACACACACACTCTCTCTCTCTCTCTTATCCTTTTCGCTCTCACTTACTTGATGCTCCCGTGCGCGCCAATTTCGCAATTTCGAAGACGGGTGCGAAAAGCTTGACCAAAAACAAAGTAGTCCTTCAGCCGCTCAGTGGGTGGTGGTTCAGTGGGTGGTGGTGCAGCGAGGCGCAACGCGGGGGCCAAAAAGATTTGCTGACACTTTTTACTATACGCGACTTTCGAACTGGAGAAAGCGACGCGAGAATCCGAGATTCGAGATTCGATATTCGAGTTTCGAGAAACGGAGAGAGACGAGAGATTTATTTGAATGCGCGGCTTCGTCTCTTCGGCTTTTTGGCGCTCACAAATATTGCACCACTACAGGCGCACGCACTGCCACACGCACACGCACATACATACACATATATACACACACATATATCTGTATTGGATTTTTTCCAACGTTTGGCTTTCGACGGTATATCCTGCGGGGGTACAGAGATTTCGCAGTGGATTTGTGTTAATTCTGCTCTTAAAACACTGAACTAGCGGGTTAATTTAGGCCGCCCCCGTTTACTGTTAACACTTTAAACTCCACTTTCGGGCAACGATTAAGGGATAAGCACTTTAAGTTGGTTGTTGCTCTGCTCGGAAACGGCGTTTCGGATGTTATTTTCCCACAGCCCTCTTGCATTGGGGCTGAATTTCGTTTTGGTCGCGGTTTCTGCTCGGAACGCATCCACACTCGCCAGATTCTCGCCACTGAGTGGTGGTTCTCGTGAGCTTTCGAAACCGTTTCGATTCCTTCCAATTCGAATTCGTTGCCAGTGTTGCCAGTATAGCTTATTTCTGGCTATAACTAGCATTTTTTAAATGGAAAAGCTTATGGAATTTGCAACTTACTTAAAAGCTTAAAAATAGTTTTTCTTAATAATTATTAAGCATATTTAGGCAATAAAAAATAAGAAAAATATTTATTTTTTTACTACTGGCAACATTGATTTGATGCTGCCAGATGTTAATGTTTCACCGCTAATCGATATATACGAGGACGATATTTACATGTTGGCGGTTTAATTTTTTTCAGTTTAAATTTGTTTAATGGAAGGAATGTTAAACAAAGGAACAATGTTAATTGCTATATTTTTTATACACGTTTTTGCTAATTATTTATCCGTTAATACATTTTTAAAGCTGCTAATTGAACAAATTCAAAATATTTCAAATATAAGCAATTAACATTTATTAAAATAAAATTAATAATTAATTGAACTATCAAAATAATCATTAGAATCAAAATAATTATTGAACTTAGTAAGGATTTGTTTGTATTTAAGCTGCAGTCTTGCTATAATCCTTATCAATTGTGGGCCGTACAATGACAGTGGCGCCTGACACGCTCGGCATGCAGATCGAACAGAACCTTGTTCTTCTCATAATAGCCTGGATTTTGATCGATACCCAGCTCCGGGTTGTACTCATTATAAGCCGCAGCCGGGCATCCAGTACTACATTTTGAAGCAACAGTATAATCGATTTTTGTGAGATGGTTACCGATGCTAATGATGCTGTTGCAACCGCCTCCGTTCAGATCCAGATGCAGGTCTCTGAAGCGCTTCGATAGGGACGTCAGATCGCAGCTTAGATCATCCCTTCGGCGTTTTCGGGATTGCTCCATTGAAAATGATGAAATATAGTTACTTTTAGTTACTTTTACTTATAAAAGTTTGGATTTTAAAGAATATGACAATTCACACAGACCTGATTATAGCCTGTGCTGTTTGACATTTGAATTTCAGCCGCCTGTTTCAACAATCACCGAATAAAAGATTTTCGATTCCATTTTATTTACAAAAAATTAATTTATTTGTTTGCATTTAACTTGGTTTGTATAGTTTATGATTTTTCCGTTTGTTTACTGACATCAAATCATAAAAATAAGCGTACTTGTATATTTTTAAAATTAAATGCATAATTTTAAAATAGTTATTGCTTTTAAAAACTACAAATAAAACATAAATACATTATTTTAATATTTTTTTTTTTTGCTTTTCTTTTAGTTGTTGTTTTTTGTTGGTTTTCTGTTTTCATTCCAGCCTTAAATCGTATGAACACTTAATTGATATTTATACCTACAACTAATCATAATAATAATAATAATAATAATAATTTCCTACTGTGCGTCGTTCTTGCCGTGTGAATGTACATTGCATAACATATCTAAGCCGTTCAAAGAAGTATTACACTTATATAATAATATATTATATGCGTTTCAGTTTACGGTTATTTCTTGTTTCTTTCTTTATATACGTATATGTACAGGATTTATTTGCTTAGCAAATTATGGCAGATTAGTCTAAATTAAAAAAAATTATTACATTGATAAATTGTTTATAATTTTGTGTTCTTCTCTTCAATTCATGTATAAGTAGTATTCTCTTTTATTCATCAAATGCCATATAATTCTCTTGTTGTCACTCCATTTTAGCTGTGGACTTGTTGTCTTGTGTGTTTTGTGTTTGTTTTCATGGTTAGTTTGGTTAATTGTCGAATGTAAATGCAAATGCAGGGCTCAAGCATTAGTCGGTTTAGTGTGTCCAGATATAAGTTGCTTTTCCCTCGACTTAAAGGCTAATTTTAGTGGATTAGTCAAGTGCTTTTGCTTTGCGCTGTTTTTTTAGTTTAGTTTTGTTAATCAAGCTCTTGGTGACTGATTAATGATTGATGATTGACTGTCGATAACATTTGTGGTTTTCTGTTTTGTTGTTTGATTCATTTTCAGGGCTTCCACCCCAAAAAGAGATTGAATATTGCTCAAAAGTAGTTCATTCTGCTAAAATCTATGCATATGTAGGTGTATGTGTGTGTGTGTGTGTGTGTGTAGTTTACATTTAAAATTATATTTCTGATTTTCGATAAATACACAAAAAATTTAAATAATAAACTGAGCAAATTGGGAAATTAAAGAACGCGATTTGGGAGAAACAAAAGTAGGCGCGCGCGCAGAAAATTTCAAATAAAATATGTTTTTTGTTTTTGTTTTTAGCATAGAAATTAGGCAACTAACTAAATAACTTTTCACTTAACAAAAATAATTTAAATATAAGAAACACTTAACGTAGAGACTGTTTGGGCGGGTGTGTTATGATTGAGAGAGAGAGGGAGGGAGGTGACCGCCTCAGCGATGGCCTCTGCTGCTACTGCAGCTGGTCGCAGCAATGGTGTTGTTGCTGGCGCCACTCCTGGCCACTGTCTCGTCACCATCATCGCCGAGATACTCGTCGGGCTTGTGACTAGAGGCGGGAGGCGTAAGCAGATTCTCTGGGGCGCGCAACGCGGTGGCCGGGGAGGCCTGGGTGCGGGCTCGAATGGCTTGGGCTGCATCCTGGGCCATCAGCACCTCGTCCTGAAAGATGAAATGAAACAAAATCAAATTAGAATAAAGTATATCGACGGAAAATATCAGGATATTAGGCTTAATTGGCGCTTTCAGATACTTACATACATATCCATGGTGGTGGTGTGCGTCTGGATAATGTGCGAGTCATCAGTGACAATGTTGGGACAGATATGGCCCAAGCCAAACTTGTTGCTGACCTGCTCGTTCTGCTCGTTCAGCTGCAGATACGTGGCCTTCTGGGAGATGACCCGGAAGAAGGGCTCCATCCAGCGGGCGCAGGGCTGAATCACCTGCCAATCCAAGCCAGAACAGCGCAGAGCGGCCTCACTATAAATAATACTTGGTTAGAAATAAACTCATTAGACAAAAAACTACTTTTAAACTCACCGACTGAATGTATGACTGATGGCCGCTGCTGCCAGCACCGAGTACGAGTAGTTGGCCATGCCCACATCCAGGGTGCACAGGTCCAGCAGCTGCGAGGTCTGCACAAACTCAAAGCCAGAGAACTGCGGGTAGATGAAGGCATCGTCAGCCTCCGCCGACTTCTGCCTGCCAATGTGGGCGAACGAGGCCGGTGTGCGATTGTTGACATTCAGCTGCATATAGACGCCTAGCCAGCCGGTGATGGTGATGGGGCTAATGTCCCAGTCGAGGGCCTGCAGCAGGATCTTTTCATGGTTGAGTATGTCCTGCTCCGTGCAGGCGCCGTCCGTCACGTAGGCAAACTCCCCGATCTTGGGCGGATAGATCTCCTCCACCTTGGCGGCCACAAACAAACAGGTGATGCCGATCAGCTGCAAATGGGTCTTCTGCACCTTGTGCGCCACGTGCAGATAGCGATCCAAGTAGTCGACGGCCAGGTAGAAGGTCTCCCGGTGCAGCTTGTACACCTCGCAGACCTCGATCAGCCAGTCCAGGAGGATGGCGCGCATGCGTGGCTGCAGTCCAGGATGCTGCTCCAGCATGTAGACGCAGCGCAAACGCGAATCCTGCTCATCCCGCTGGCACATCAGACGCCATACATCCGCCGCGTTGGCCCAAGCCAAGGCGGGTAGTGGGCACTGGCGCAGGGCGGTCTCCACTGCCGGCGACATACAGCTGAAGGCCGCCGAATCCGAGTCCACCGCCTTGATAGGCATCATGGTCAACGGGCACGGAGGCTGCTGTGGCTGTACAGATTGCTTCTGGTTCTGTTGGAGGCCAGGAGTACGCTCTCCATTAACCGCCTGCTGCTGGCTGCAGCCCGAGGAAGCTGGCGAAACGGTGGACGAGTTGATCTCCTCGTCATCGTCATCGTCCTCCTCCTCGTCGTACGAGTAATCCTCGCAGCTGTCGTCCAATAGGTCATCGTCCTCGTGCTGCTCCACACGCGAACTGTTGTTGACTGTTTCCACTGCTGTGTCCACGCCGGCATAACGCACCATGACTGGCGCCTGCTTGGCACCGCGATCCGGACTCGGCGGACTGTCCGGGCTGTCCGGCAGCGGACTGTGTGGCGGCTGCTCCGGCAACTCCTCGGCCGGTGAGCTGCGTATGCTGAGCAGTTCCTGGATGTGCTGGCCATCGGCCGAGACCACGGGCGAGGTATAGACCGAGGAGGCCACTGACGATAGATTGCTGCCCTGATCGCTGCCATAGAGAGCGGGCAATCGCTGTTGACGCTTAGCCGATGGTGGCTCAAAGCCGAGTTCGGGATCCTGCAAGCGCAAGGAAAATATGGGTTTTAGAAAGGGAATTTAAGTATCTAAAAAGTATAAATGTAGGCTAAAAATTTTCTTATATTTTAAAGAAATAAAACCAATCATTACCATTTCAATAAATTTGCGCTTCTGTTCCAACTTCATAGTAACATGAACAGCACAATGAAAATGATATATGAGTCAGTAAACGGGATCACACAAAGTGGCGGTGGATTAAGGACGTGTCTCGAATATAATTAGCCAAGAAGGAGCCGCCGTCGAGGAGAAATTTATGTGGGCACGCCTGTCAAAATTCTTAATCCTTAATAGATGGACCGCTAGCACCCGCACAAAATGTGAGCCAGAGAGAGATTGCACACACAAAAGATCAAGGACTCGGGATCAGTCTTGGCATATATAGAGGTATAACAATAACACTTTGGTTGGTTTTTCTCGTGGGAGCGGGTTTAGTTTCGTTATCCTGTCTTCTTTGAATTGCACTTTTGCCTGAATGTTTCGAGTATTCAGTAGCAGCAGTCTTTGGTTAAAATTTATTGGCTTGTTTGTTTCTTCTTTGGTTTAAATAATTGTACAAAGTGATATTTGGTTATAACATTTTTGGCTTTTTGTCGTTTGTTTTTGGTTTGTTTTTTGTTATTTCGTTTGGCTGTGGTTCTAGTTGTTGCTGTTTTTGTTGGCAAATCCGGTTCTTAAATTAGTTCTTTGCACTCAATTTCAGTCTTTACTTCTCAGCTACTTGATCTCGACTTGGCAACGAATCAACATTTATAGAATTTTGTTATTCACTCCGCTCTTGGCTTGCTCGAGTACCAATCGCGTTGACGTTCGCTGTGCAACTGAGCTGGCTGTGCTCCGTTCCAGATCGCCGATCCCCGAACCCCGATCCCCGATCGTCGTTATCCTTGTCTGCCGAATGCAACGGTCTCGAATAGGGGTTGCTTTTCCCCCGACAGACGTTGCAACACGACGACAGCGGTAAAAACAGGATCGCTGGCAGGCAGCTTGCTGTCTCTTTTTGCTGCTCTGGCATTTGCTCAGGGGTAGTTCCCGGAGATCTGGTCGATCTGGTATCCGGACTTCTTGAGACGCTGTCGTTGTTGTTTTTGCATTGCATTTTTCGCCTTTGGGTGTTTATCAGCCCAACAACAAATCCCCCCGACCCCGATCCTTTTCACAATTATTTTTTGTCAACATTTCTGTGTGCGTGTCCTCAGGTAGACAAGACGTTCGGAAAAATCACTACCTTAGGTAGGTAGTGTGTGTATATGAATTATTCCTGCTAGTACTTTGGCCAGCGGCTGCATTAAAATCGCCTTCTTGCATCTTGGAGGCAAAGTTCTCTAATAAATTATCTTTTGGCATGAATCTGAGATTGTGGTGTGGTGTGGGGCGGGCCGAAAGCCAAATGTAGAGCGAGCCTAATGAAACCTTCGGCCCAGACTCCTCTGCTGAATCGCAAGATTACAGCACGAGTGACAGAGAGAGAGAGAGAGAAAAGGAATGAAGTTGAAACGAAAAATGCAAACAATTGAAATCCTTGACCATTGTTCTCGCAGACAGATGATGGAAAACAGA